TGGGTGGGCGGGTGGGGGATGGAGAGGAAGGATAGGAGGACGCGGAAAACAAGGACTCTTCCAAAAAATGTATTTTTTCATACGGCGCCAAGCGTCTTATACCTGAAAAATGTGCTAAAAGCGCAGGATTCGCCTCCCTCCCCTCCACCCGCCCTCCCTCTTACCCCCCCCTCTTTATCCCCTCCCGCCCTTCCCACCGTCCTCTCTGCTTCCCTTTGCTACCCCCTGGCCGCCCTGCACTGCACCCATTGGGAAACGGGCTTTCTTGAGGGCCGCCGCCCCAATTTCCCCCCACTCCCCCCCTTCTCCCCACTGCCTCCCCTCTCCCCTTCCCCCCCATCCCCCCACCCCAAAACACACCGACGCGCCCACACTGATCGGGTTTCGACACGCACCGACGATTCATCAATGGAACCCATTTGATTGTACACCAGTACGGAGGACAGCAGCAAAGCCAAACTGAAAATCTGTTACAACATGGAGAGGGTCATGGGGGTGGGGTTTGGTGGTTTCGGAGGCGCGGAAAAGAGACTTAGGAGCAAGGAGTTGCGTCAGGGAGTATCAGCCGACGGCCTCGGAAGGGGCGGGGGGAGGCCCTACCTGGGCAGGATAGATGGAAACGGCGCTGTGGGGCGGCGCGTGCGGGGGTGATTTCGGTATGTAGACGACATGGAGTCGTGGGGTTTGAGGGAATGGAGTTTTGGAAGGCGGGGATGCGGGAGCTGTAGTGCGAGTGTATGTGTGTATGTATGTGTGTGTGGAGATATGCTGCGTCGGCGCGGGTGCAAAGAACCCAAACCCTTAAGGTCAGAGGACAGGCACGGGGCGAGACAGCCAGCCAGCTCTCCCTGGCATCTCCCCTGCTGCCCGTCTTTAAACGTAACAATAACGGTGGAATTATTATTATTATTATTTATTTATTATTATATATTATATTGTTATCACCATCATCAAAACCTACGCCACCTTCCTATACACACAAACCCCCAATCTGCGATACCGCCCCAAGACTCATGACGTGCCATGTACGTCACTTCACTCCTTGCATGATGAAACCCAATCACCACCAATATCTCTGGGTGGTGACACTTTCGGCAGTTTTGCGCAATCCCCCCCACATCCCCTCCAACATGTACACGCACACAACCCCGTACCACCCCCCAACCCCCCTGGAGCCACTGGGGATGGTTCCCCCCCCGCATCCCTTCGTAAGGCCCGTCTTGGTGTCTGCTCACATGGTTCGAGTAGTCGGCGGTTTGGTCGTACGAGTCAATACCCTCCGCGTCCAACAGAAGCTGAGGGGAAAGGGGGGAGGGGAGGAGCGCAGCGGCGAGTGAGGGGGACTGAAGGGAGAGCGCTGCAGAGAATGGAAATGGAAGGAAACCCTAGGAAAAAAAGGTGATGGATGCGGGAGGAGAGACGGTAGTGAAGTTGAAAACACGCGCAGCACAAAGTTCGTGGAGTGGAGTGATGAGAGTGAATAAAGTGCTGAGAAATGACTGCGAAAAATATAATATTTCTTAAGATTCGCACGGCAAAGCAGGGCACCCATTAGATAAGGACACTACGACGAAAACAGAAAGGTGTACGGCATTGAAAAGGTGTACGGCGCTAACACAAGACTGGTATTTCGAAAAAAACACTGCATATGAACCACCAGTCAACATGTCAGCGACACGACACAACTACTGTACTGCTGGCGGGGTCACCCGACCATTTGGATGCAGCTCACACCGCCGCCTCATATTCATTGAATGACTAACTGCCCAAACAATCCACGCTGTAACCCTCCCGTCGACGACCGCCCCTCTTATTAAACCAATATTAAACTAATATTAAGCTTATATTAAGCTAAATATAAGACCCCTAATACTAAGCTCGCCCCTCGCCTTGCGCCACAAAACACATTCTTGACAAAAATTCAAAAATGCCGAATACGCACCGCACCGCCTTGGGGGTGTCTGGTGTGTTTACGAGGGCTCTATACATACAGACGCAGGAGAGCTCTATGCCTGCAGGGTTTTTAACCTGCAGGGCATCTCGCACCATGAAGCTAGATAGCTAACTAGCTAGCTAGATAGCTAGCTGCCACGTCTGACCAAACCGCCTCAAGGCCCCGCCCCGCCCCGCGGGCAGCCCACCACGCCAGCAATCCACGCTAAGAAGAGGCGCCTAGACGCCAGGCCTTGCCAGCTCCCTCTGACCCACATCGCCAATGACCCCGATTGCCTACCCCGAGCCATTTTCTGTGTGTGATGGGGGGGAGGCGAGCGGCAGGCGAGCTTATCCGGCAGCTCTCCCTGATTCGCTTACATACACACACACGCGTGCGTGCGTGCGCGCGTGCACACACACACACACACACAGTGTGCCGTCCCTCGTCCCACCACAGCCTCTCATCTACCTGGTCCATGCCCAGATGGGCAAAAAGAAAGTGTCCTTTTCCAGATTCTGTTCCCCGCGCCCCAGCGCAACCCCCCCATCTCCCCCCAAACCCACATTCCCCCGTAGGCACGGCGCTATTTCTCATTCCCTCCATCCCGCCCACTGCCGTTGACCCCTTTCCCCCTCCATAAATCTGTCACCTTTTTCCCTATACGGGGGTGCTCCCTATACGGGTGCTCCCTGTACGGGTGCTCCCTGTACGGATATGGGGAGCTGCGCGGCTGAGAGCTCAACGCCCTAACTGTGTGTGCAAAGGGGGGAGGGCTCGGGAGTTCTGGGTCTACTCGCCTACAAACCCTAAGTTAAAAAATACCCATCACCCAAGTTTCAGATCTTACCACGTGGCAAGTCTGCCCGTTGGGTAGCCGCCTGGGTATAGGTCGGGACCAGAGCCATAGGCCTGCGTCGGATGTTGGGTCAGCAGCAGCAGCACCGCCAGCACCAGCCGCAGTGGGTGCCGAAATGCCAGCCGCCGCCGCCGCAGTAGTAGCAGCAGCAGCGCCGCCAGCAGCACAGCAGACGTAAGGTTGGCGCAGGAGCAGCAGCAGCAACAGCGGGAAGAGCGGGGGTGGGGTGGGGTGGGGACAGATGCATCGAGGTGAGGAGAAAAGCATATGAGATGGAGCGAGGCCAGGTAAGGGACAAAGGGACGACCCCACGAACGCCATGGCCACAACCCATTTGTTCCGTGTTTGCGTCCACAAACGTGCGGTTAGTTAACTCATGCGGTTCACTGATTTGGGTCCTGTCTTACAAATCCTTGCTGTCTGGGAAGCCCGGTCTTAATTTCCGAACTTCCCGAACCCTGCATGCCCCTTAAAGGTTTTGCCTCCAGCTGTGGCATCTGAGCCCATTCCTCCTTGCCTAATTGTCTGTGTTCCCGCCCCCTCCCCTTTGCTGCATCAATCATCTTAAGTTGCAAGGTCGTACATGCGATGCCTTACGCACCCTGCTCGGCGCTTACTTAAGCTGTGTGCCCGACCAATCGATTCTCTGCCACTCTTTATATATATTCTACGGATACATTATGCGCGCAACAGCCGGCTGGCCGGCCTTACGCATGCGCACCTTTCGTGCAGGGCTTCACCGTGCTGCCAACTGCAAACCTGCGAGAAGCTGTCGGTTGTGGGCCAGTAACGGGACCTTGCAAACGAGCCAGCAACTGATTGAGCAGGAAGCTCTTTCCCTGCCGAGCCCGACCGCAGACCGCGACGACGCATATCGGTCCAGTCAGAGATCTGTTTTTGGGTTGTGGAATGTTGAAGGGTCGTTAACTGGTCTTTAATCGCAGAATTTTGCGTCTTTGTCGTATGGACCAAAGTTTGACCTCTTCTGGAGAAAACTTGCTTGACAGGACGCACCTCAGAACGTTTACAGCTTGAGAAGATACTTCAAATCCCTTTGTTTCTTCGTTAAAACGCACCAGCTCTGACGCCATGATGGTTTCTATTGGTACTTGAGCCTTGGGCTCATATCAAGGCCCCTTGCGTATCAGCTTTAATTCCCCTGTTGAATCAGAATAAGTAAACTGAGCTTACGCGTTGCGTCTGGCTGTGTGCCGGTTCAGTGCTCGGACCAATTCTGAGTCTCCCGCTCAACAGTACGGCGCAGCTGACACAGCAAATGTTTCTCGGAAAACCTCTTAACTTAATTGCTGATTATTTAGCAGAGCACTTTTAGTTTCGTGCATTAGCCAAACGAAAGCTCTTGTCTGTTTCTTAATAAGAGAGCCGTGCGGAAGCTTGTCATACCTTAACCCGAACTTCGGAACTTCTCAATTGCCTTCCTGTCGGATTCGACTGCCCCCAGAACTTACGCTTATCTGCATTTCTGGCTCCGCGGTGGAGCGGCCACGAGGGGGTTGAGTGGTAGGTGCGGCCCCTCAGCTTCTGTATAGCCGTCACTGCGTCTCGGTTGAAAGTGCTACCTGAAGGTTGCACATACGCAAGGCATATGTGCTCCTAACGCTTAGTTACGGCTTTGCTTGGTGGTTGTGGCCTTTGGGTAGGACGGTTCGCATGAAAACGGAGATCCTTTTCTCGTTGCGAACTCTACAGGCCAATTTGCCGATGAAGCCAGCAAAACCTCGTCCACCTCCAACGCTGTCACAGCGGGTGCAGGACACCGCGGAGCGCCTGTCGACGCTGGCAAAGGTGCGGAGTTGCCATTCCGAGTGACTCGACCCCGGAAACCGGAAACGTAACGACCCCAAATTCATCTTCCTAGCTTTTTAGCCACGATATCATGTCAGATACTTCAACTTCCTTCCTCGAAATCCGTGCTTCATCCCCGAACAGGCGGAAATCTACCAGGTTCTCGAGGGCACCGCGCCCGCTGGCGACTTTTCTTCATTTTACCGCCTGGATCCGCTTATCAACGACATTGTGTTGCAGTTGATTGACAACTTCAAACAGGCCGTCACGAAACGACTTCTGCCTGAGGCTTGTAAGCTGCTGGGGTCGCGGCCTGCAGCTCTCGCAACCCCAGACCCCTGGACAGGAGGCGAGGCGCCGCAGCCACAAAGTCCCGGCGCGCTTCCTACCAGCGTTAAACAACATACTCATCTTGAAAATGACATTCTCGCGCTCGGACTCTCGCCAGGAACCGGGCAGCCACTGCGACCAGATCAAGGGCCGCCGCAGGACGCAGCCTCTGCCGCGGCCTCGTCCCTGCTCCAAGGTACGACAGTATCAGCATCAGGCTCCACGCCCCAGCCCCCAAGCCTATCCACTCCCCCATCTGCAAGCGCAAGCAGTGGCGGCGGTAGCGGCGCTTCCGCTGCACTTCACCCTCAGGAGTCGCGCTTTGCCTTTGCTAACGCCGGCGGAGGCGACTCGCGCCGTACGGCTACTCTTCAGTCCCCGCTGAGCCGCGACGGTGCCTACGCTGCTGGCGGAGGCGGCGGAGGCGGCGCCGCCACGGACCTAGGTCAGGCGGCAGATCCGCTGTTGTTTCTCGGCCTGGGGGACAGTGGGACGCCGCTGGGCTTTAGCAGCGGCGGCGACGCCGCCGCCGCCGCAGCTAACGGCCTCGCGATTGCTGTGGACAGCTTCCTATTGGGTTCCAGTTTGGCTGGGAGCATTGGCAGCGGCGCCGGTGGCGGCAGCAGCGGGGGTGGCGGCAGGGTCACTCCTGGCGGCGGTACCTTCACTCCAGTCACATCGCCGTCGCCCAACTCCGTCAGCCGCCAGTACGGCACTCTCTCCTTGGGTGGCGTCGGCGTCGGCGGCTCCGCTGCCGCCGCGGCCATACGCAGCGCTTCGTCGGCGGCATCGTCGCCATCACCCAACCCCTCCACGCCGTCGCCGTACCCTGCCCTGCCGCTGGCAATTCGCCCGGGTTCGTCTTTGGATCCTGGGCTAGCGACGCCGCCGCTGTCGCTCGCGGGTACGGAACCGCTTCGCGGCCCCTCGCACGGCCTGCAACTTCATCTCCCACAAGCCGGTACGCCTCAACAGCAGCAGCAGCAGCAGTCGCTGGGTCGGCTAAGCACGCCAGGCGACATGTCGCTCTTGGCACGGATCGGCGGGGGGGGAGGTGCGGCTGGGGCGGCGCCGGCGGCGCCGCCGCCATTATTTGGAGGTGCTCCGGGACCAAGCCCTGGCGGTAGCATCGGCAGTAGCTCGCAGCAGCAGCAGCAGCAGCTTTTGCGCCAGCAGCAACAACAGCAGCAACGGGCACAGCAACAGCAGGCGTCGCCGCAGCATGAGCATTTTTTGAGTGGTGGCGGCGGCGGCGGCGGCGGTGTTGGTTTGGCAGCGGTTGGGGAGACGGTTGGGCTGTTGTCCACTGCGAATGGACACGGCGGCGCCGCCGTGTGTCAGCTACAGCTACAGCAGCAGCAGCAGATACAGGCACACGCACAGTTTTTGCAGCAGCAGCAGCAGCAGCAACAACAACAACATATCCATAACGTCACAAGTGATATTCAGCGCCAACAGTATAATAATAGCTTTGCACAGCAGCAGCAACAACAGCAGCAGCAATTGTCTGCTCAACAACAGCAACGGCAATATAATGCCGTACAGTACGACAACAGCGGGTTTGTTCCCGCCTCGGCTGTCAGGAGCACCCTCGCGGCAGCCCCCGACGGCCCGCGCGGAGCGTACGACAATCGTAACCCGACTGGCAGTTATGCTATGCAGAATGTAATCGAGATGCCGTACGACGTACAATTGCTGTACGGGAACAGTGGTGCGGGTGTCATGGATTTGCACCAAGCAGGCGGCTTTGGAGCCATGGGCGGCGGCGGCGGGCCCACCTCGCAGGAGTACGGCACGTACGGGCTGGCGCCTCTGACAGCTGCCGCCGCTGCCGGCATGGTCGATTTGATGCGGGCTGGAAGTTCGGGTGGCACTGCCAGTACGACGGTTGGGACGCTTCAGCCTAGCGGCATCGTTAGCAGTACGGCAGGCGGCTTTGGCGGCAACGCCGTTGGGCCCGGCGGAATTGGCCGTGCCGCCGGCGGCTCTCCGACGATGGTGCTGGCGGCAGGGGCACCTGGTACGGCAGCGTCCCGTCCTAGCCGCAGCGGCAACGCCAGCGCTGCCTCCATGCAAGACAGTCGATTGGGCAGCTTTTCGACGGGCCCTTTGACCGCCGCCCAGCCGACAGCGGCGCCGCCGCCGCGCCGCGGCAGCGGCAACGGCGGCGCTGGTATAGCAGCCGTACAGTCGCCCTTCATCCCGCAGCGGCCGTCGCCGCCTGCGTCGGATGCCTCAGGACCGTCTTCTTCCACTGCATCAGCCTCCACGGCCGGCGCGGCTGCCGCCGCCGCCGCCGCCGTCGGTACGGCAAAGGGCGGCGGCGGCTCCGCCACTATCGCTGCCGGGGACAGCGCCTCTTCGCTTTCCATGGCTGCTAAATTGCAGCAGGTGCAGTTGGAGGCTTCAGACCTTGTGCGTGTACGAGGACACGGTTTGGTTTCGGGGCATTTGCATGAAAAGGGTTTGGGGGTGTTGGTTGGGTTGTTAGTTGGGGTGTTAGTTGGGGTTATCGCACACCTGGGCCATGTCATGTTCAATGACTGCAGATGTACAACATGAGGGTGATACAGAAACAGCGGTATGATGACAGCAAAGGATAAAACAAGGCCTTGAACACGTATGTATGCATGCATATATGTATATATGTACGTACGTATGTATGTATGTATGTATGAGGTTGCGATGTTTATGTAGGACTGAAGTGCAGGGAAGGAAGGACAGGAAGGGGAAAGAACGCAGCGCCTCGATGTGACACAAGCCATTTTGGTGCTGTGTAGTCATGTTCGCGGTTCTGGTTCCTTATCTTGTTGAACACGTTCCCAGGCCGTGCCCCGACTACAAGGCCGTGCCTACCAGCCTTGACGCTTAAGAAGGCCCCATGTCACCTTTTTTTCCCTCGTCGTACAAGTTTCTCCCGCGTTTTTTGATTTCCGTCCTCGATTCCCCCCTCATTTCCCCCCCCCGGCCATCTCTTCCGTGGCTGTTTGGCTGGTCATGAAGGTCGCCGCCAAGTCGCCCGCAACGTCGATTGGAAGCGCCGGCCGCGGCAAGACCGGCGGCGGCGGCGGCAGCAGCAGCGGCGGCGGCGGCGGCGGCGTTCTTAAGGCCCCCGCCGACATGCCGGGACGGTTTCGCTGCCTGCCGCCTGCCGTACAGGTCCGTATCTACGCACTCGCAAGGGACAACCACGTGGTGTTGGTAAGTACGGAATGGGATGTCGTACACATGGAGATGTGGATATAGCATGGCGGGGCGCGACGCCTGCACAATGCAGCGGCATTCCAATCGAGTTATAAAAGCCGTGTTGGTTGGTTGGTTAGCTTGTTTTGTATGTTTCTGTTAATATGTTATAGCATGACCGCCAATCCCACCACATGACACGCACATACATACATACATACATACATACATACATACATACATACATACATACGTATTTCGCGCGCAGCTCAAGGATTTTGACGAGAAAGTGCTCACCAAGATGACGTTGCTGGTTGAGAAGTTCGGTGCAGCCGAGTGCTTGGCGATGTTGGATCGTATCGAGGAGGTCCTCAAAGGCAAAGTAAGTGTGTGGGGGGTTGAAGGGGGAGGATTTGGGGGTGAAGGGGAGTAACACCGTGGTAAGGAGGTGGGTCGGGATGCATCCGTTGGGGGGAAGAGGACAGGAATTTTCTGGTTATGTAGCCCAAATCGCCTCCCTTACAATCCCGCTTGAATCAAGCATTTGCGCTCGAAAAAGGAAAACCTTCGGATAATATCGAGGGGGATCGAATGGGGGGAGATGATTAAATTAAAAATAATAAGTACAAAGAAGAAATAATTTATGTGACATAAAAAGGATTACATGAAAAGAATTGTTAATATTTTTAAATCTCGCCCGTTTTGGTCTTTGTGTTACCGCCCCCCAGGCTGGTCGACTCGCTAACGGACCCGGGTACTTGGACGTGTCAGTTTCCACTCGGTTGGACGAGCTGAAGCAGCGGGCCAGCGGTAAGCGGTTGGCAGTTGGGAGTTGGTGGTTGGACGGCGTGAAAGAGGGTGGAAGAGGGGACTTAGCTCCCTGTTGTAGTGGCAAAGAGTGGTTTATGCGCGTATGTGACTGCGCGCGTTTCGGTTTTATCGATAAGTTTGCCCCGGAGGGGGGAACGGGTTCCCGACTGTCTGTGGGCCCCCTGCTGCATGTAATAAATATTTATATTTGTTATAATTATAATATATTTATATTTTGTAATTAATATATTATTATTTTATATTTTACTATATGTCTCTATGTAGCTTCTGTAGAGGACGAGGACGATCGAAATGGAGGTGGGAAAAAGATCCAAAAATCCTCCCAAAAAACCAAAAAGGACCTCGTACGCCGTTTTGAATTTCCCCGTAAACAAGAACTCCCCCCGTTTAACATCATAAACAAATTATATAAAGAGAAAAAGTAAATGAAATCCTGCTGAAACTAATGAAATCCTGCTGAAACAGGTCAAGTCACTGCACCTGAGGACTATGCACGCTCCACCCTCCACTCGCGAATCTACGCCGAGCTCCGAGACTTAATCAGTCGGCACGGCTTTCTGCAGTGGCACCATTTTGACCAGGTACGACAGAAAGTACGGCAGCACGAACGTGCGCTCTTATGTGCAATATTTCCGGACAGATTATTTTAGGATCTAAAACCGCTATCTAAACCGTAGCAGTTCTCGTTTGCAGATTAGCACAAGAGTCGCCCAAACCCAACTGCCAAAATTTCTTTCTTTCTTGCGGGGTTGCAAACCACCTCGATGTATGTATGAACAATCCTCCATCTGAATTTGCCTGTTGTCGCCCCAACCGCTAACCGCCAACCAACAGGGCATCATCAACATGCTCAAGAAGATGCCCAACGCCACCGCTCTAGAGCGACTTAACGAGCTCGCGTACCACTCCTTCAAGAACGTGGACAACCCGAAGTCTTGCATCGTCTCCATCTTCACTACCAAGCCAAAATACATTGCCACCTAACGGCAACCGCCAACTACCAACCAACTACTAACCAATCTCCTCTGGGGTTCACTTGCACCGATTTACACGACTTTTACAACAGAGTTGTTTCCAGTTATTTTGGGAGGTGGATTTGAAAAGTGAACTAGTTCTTGGATTGGACGAGGCGACAGAGTTTGCGAACCCTGGTGGTTGTGGTGGTTGTGTTTGGGGGGTGTCCGAAGAGGGCTGTTTGGCGATAGAAGGGGAAGGGGAATATATGTGGGTATTAACAGCCCAGGTAGCTGTGTGCCTGTTGTCGCTTGGTACGGCGGTGGTTACAAACTTGCGTGCCAGCACCCGTACACGCACCGGCCATGGATCTGCTTGATCTGTCCAGCAGGCCGCAGTACGGCAGCTTCCATGACGGGTAGATGGTGTGTTCAAGGGCCGCATCAGAGGTGCCTTGAAGGCTGTTTTAGCGGGGGTTGCCTTTTTAAGGATTTGGGTCGTATTTTGGTTTGTGGGTTTGTGGACTAGATGGATGTATGAACAGACGGACAGACGAACGAGCAGGCGAACGAACCGAGTCCTTGAGAAATTGTCTCTCAGCAGACTGGGAGCAGGAGGAAGAAGAGGAGTGGGAGGAAGAGTAGGAGGAGGTGGAGAAGGAGGGCAGCCTTGGTTGCGCTGGCTGAATTGCCTAAATAAGTGCATATATATGAGATGCATGGCACTCGAGGCAAAGCCAAAGATTATCACGTTTTTGTATGGAAATGGAACGGTGGTTTTTGTGGTGGTGGTGGTGTTGGAGGAAGAAGGGAAGTCGTCGTTGGCGCCCTGCCAAGGCTCGGCCGCAGCACTGGAAAATAGGTTAGATATAGTTTTGGGGCCTCTTTTGGACTTATGTGAACGTTTGTGTACGGCCATGTTCTGGCTCTCGTTAGGATCCTTGAGGAAGGACTTTGGGGAGCGCCCGGGCGGTTGTACGACGACAAAGGAAGGAGGCGGAATTGTGGCCTCGCGTTGCTGCCGCAACGCTGCTACTGCTGCTGCTGCTTCGTAATTGCGGCCCATCATCATCATCATCATCTCATTATCATCATGCACCTGGCTCGAAGAGAGAGCCGGTCATTCATGGGGGCAATGGGGTTTTGAGCCTGTGGAGCAGGGGGTTTGGCAAGAGAGAGAGGGGAAAGGGGGGGAATGTGCGGGTTTCCGGTTTTTAGGGTGATGTCTAGGGGAGTGTGTATTTGCGTGTTTTGGTTGGGACTTTAACGGCACTGGGTGCTTATCACGCTTCCCTGGCCCTCCTGCTTCTGCTCCTCGTCCTCGTGCTTCTGCGCTTTCCCTTTTGCGCTTCGAAATGAATTGTATTGTCGCCATCAGGACTTATCACGGCTTTTCAAAAAGGGCTGTGAAGGTTTCGGAGCGATGTCGCGTGTGAGCGTGGCGACTGGTAATAAGTCGTAAGTCGATGGTGACAGCGTTGGTGGCCGTTGGTGACGTGTACGGAAGCGTTAGGGCTAGAAAAGGATTTTTAGGGTTTCATTTTCAAGGCAGGAAAAGCTTGGGATAGCATCCCCTGTAACCATTTCCTCTTCCCGGACATACGTACAGACCCACAGACATATAAATACCGATACTCAAGGTCTAGTGGTGGTGGTTATAGAAGTGGCGGTTGGTGGTTGTAGCTGTTGGTAGTGGTTAGCGTGGTGGTTAGTGGCCGGTGTACCATCCAAACTTTGAAGGTGTGTAGGCTCTCCGGACTTTCACTCGCAATCATCCCGCCCTTAGTGGTTTTGGTAGTTTTGCAGATGTCTCTCTGTATGTCTGTATGTATGTTTGTCGTCTGTGTGTGCGTGCCCTTCTGACATTATCAAGTTTTCAGTTGGCTTGCCGCACACATTTTCACATACCTACACATCTACACAAATACATACCGACGCACAGGGACGGCATGCACCGCTTTTGGGGTTTAAGTTGGATTGATTTACCCTTGAGCTTTCTCCTGCTGTACGGTGCATGCAATCTGCCCGCCGAACTTTTAAAAACATAGAACGGGCGGGGTGTACTTTTTGTGGGAACGAACTGGGCCAGGCGGACAGGGAAAGTGCCTCTGGGGCATAGCTCTAGTTTCCTAGCATGTGCTGAGCCGTACTGCCGTACTGTACTATCCCGTACTGTGATACTATGCGTCGAAACCGCGCCGGCGTTCTGGCTGCGACATCTTCTGGTTGGCGCGGGTTTGAAGCGCTGCGAGTCATTGGCGATTTGCGGGATTTGTTGTATCATCATATGCTCTTTTTCGCAGTACGCAGCAATAGCGGCGGCGACATCGGCGGCGGCGGCGGCGGCAGCGCGCATTTGAATTGAAGTTGTTATCCCGTACACCTTTTTTCTTACCAGTTTGAAAAAGTCTTCAACGGAATGACTGAAATATTTGTCTTTGTTGTTTGCTGGATTGTAGTCGGCTTTAAAAAGTAGCGTGTGGAATATACGGGTTTGCCTTTTAGATCGCGGCGCGAGGAAGAAAAGGCGGGACAGCTAATGGACGACCTGAGCGCGAGGAATTTGTAGTGGAACAAAGAAGTGTCTTCAAGGGGACTCACCTTTCCTTGGGGTATATTTTAAAAAATGTTTTAACGCTTTTAGGATTCCTTGCAAGGAGTTCTTCCCCACTCTCTGAACGGAACATGTATAGCATTGTTTTTCCTAGTTTCCGGATTTAAAAAAGGGCAGCCGTTGACACAGACCAACTAACGGTATTATTTAACCGTCGGTCGTTGTTTGTGGTTGGTTGGCACCCTGCGCATCGGACGTGCGTTCCTGTTTTTGGCTGAGTGTGCATACATATACAGTAGAGGCACACAGTCACCTACAGGCGCATGAGGAAGGGCGTCACGCAAGCTCTGGTGCACTGCAGTGGCTGGTGCGGTTGCACACGGTCTCTCATCAGCCAGCAGCTAAGTTGCCAAATTTGGCGTCGTGGTGCCAAATTAGGATCCAGGGTGGGCTGCCTGGACATCATTGTCTTTAAGAGGATGTATGTGCGTTGCTGACTGACGTGGTGGTTAAGATATGACAATTGATATATCATGAGATTCTTCACTTCGTGCACTTTTTTAAAAAAATTGTGAAAATATGGAGGTAAAGGCCTCACCACCATCATTGTTTGGTCGACCCAAGAGATGCCTTCGCTACTAGGATTCGTACTTTGTCGTACCTGCTGGATGAGATCTGGGTCTGGAAGCCTAAGTTGAAGCACGGTTTGCACGGTCTTGCCGGTCTCCAAAACCATTTTGCTGTGGCCAAAACTGCAGTTTGGGTTTTAGCGGCCAGTATATTGTAGCACTGACCCAAGGGTCGGTTTGCATTCGTGGCGCGACGCGTTTAAAAGCTGGCTAGGGTTTTAATACGTGATACGTATGTAGCGGGCCGTCCGGCGAGATGTCTCTTAACTTTCTTCTTGCGGTACAAGTTCACCGCGATTCCTTTAGATCGGACTGTGCCATGTCCTCATGTCCTTTTAAGTTTGTTACGAACTCATGATGGCTCGGGGTTTTAATGGCGATTGGAAATAAGACTGATGATAGTGTCGTACAGCTTACAAACGACGGCGCGTTTTAGATAGAGTCCCATGGGGCGTCGGGGAGACGGGGGAAAGGGCAGGGGGAAGGAGGACATGCGTCTTTTGCAAAACACGTCGCGTGTCCTGTGGGGGTTGGGGGGGTTGACCGTATCACCCAGCGCCCCCTCGGGAGCTGCATCCGTGCCGTATCGTACCGTTCCCTGGCCCTGGGAGTGGGGTGAGGGGAGTTTTGAGGATGGAGGCCCACGCTTACATCCATACAGCTGCGCGCAGACATATACGTGTGTGTGTGTGTGCGTGTGTGTGCGTATGCTGTGTGGGTGTGGGTGTTACGTGCGTCGTCACATTGTCTGCCGGGGCCTGGGCTGGCCATAACGTTATGTCGTTATGTGTGTGGTGCACGCCTCGCTTCCAGTCCGTAGTAGGAGGGGCTGATGAGGAGGAGCTGCTCGGAAGCTGCCGACAGCCCGCAGGGGTTTTGGCGCCGAAATCCTGCATTCGGACAACGTTTTTGTATGTTTTAAGATATTGGCTGGTTAACTTGGCTGGCTTGCTGTCGTACTGACAAGGTTACGTGGGGATCCTTGGGGAGTAATAATGATGCTGGTGGAGTGGGGGGGGAGAGATGAGGAGTGGAGCAGGGGACGGGCGGGTGGGGAGAGGAGTGTGTGTGTGTGGGGGGGGGAGGTTGTTGAGACAGGCTGACAGAGGTTGAGTTCTGTCAGGTCTTGAGAAATCGAAGACGACACACGCCCATGCCTTATCTGTCATGCCTTACTGTACGATTAAGGAAATGGTTCCTGGGCGCGGAAAAGAGACGCGTTTAAGAAAACTCGCATATTTGCTGTGTTGTGCGCATTTTGGGGGCGGGGCGGAAAAGGGGGAGCAAAATGCTACGCCTGCATACGTGTCGTACATACGTACGGGATTGCTGTACATGGAAAGCCGGGAGGTGGGCTGCTGTGGATTGGGGCGGGGGATACATACGCTGGGCCACGGATGGGACTGTACGGCGTGTGTGTGTTTTCCTTGGCGAAGATGGTGACCCATGCGTACCGCGGAAGGGAGGGAGGGGGGGCAGCAGCGCTGTAGGCGTGGGCAGTAGGATTATTTGTGTGCATCTTACTGCGAAGCGGCTGGGAAGACGGCAGAGGGAACGAGGGCGTCGCATCGCGTTGCGACATGTGCCGTACTGCCGTACAGTTGCGCAGAGTCAGGAACGGAATCATTGCACTGCTGCGTTCGTACCTGTCTGCAAGTATACGTGCTTTGTGGATTGTTTTCTGTACGCTATAACCTTCACATTCCATATGTGTATACGATGTGCACGAAAAAAGGAAGAGGGAACAAACAATAATAAAGGTAAATATAATAATGATAATACTCTAGGCTAACTGTGCCGTACTGCCGTACTTCCCTGCGCATCACCTCGAAGGAGGCTGCGTTCCCTATAGCGCACATAAAAGAGATGCTTACATTCGTACATACATACATACGTACATGCATACATTCTTCCGTGCAGGCGCACAATGGCACACATACACATCGGTGGCCAGTTAACAGTTGGTTTTTAAAATTCTCGGGCATCGGGTCCAAAACACACACACACACACACACACACACAAACACAGACGAAGAAAAATAATTTGGCACACACGCGGAGACGCGCCTAAAAATGACTATCACGTGTATGGGTGTTCTCCCCAAGGCCACCTAAAACAGCTTGAGGCGTCTATCAGCATTTGTATCTGGAATATGTGCAGGTGCGGCAACGCAGGCGGCGGACCTGCCTTGTGTGTGGGTGTTTTACATGGTCGTGGGGGTGCGTTCCCCCTACATACCTGCAAACCGCCCTAATACGAGCCGAGGGCTCAAGGGCTGCCAGATCGCCCAAAAGCACCATCCTACCTCGCACTTCAAACAAAGCAAGTAATGCCAAAGGGAACGATATAGAGTTGCGGTGGGACCATATACGTTCCAGCATCCTTGCCAGGCGTTCAGGTTGCCACTTCATAGCTCGTCCTTCATATGCTCGAAGCGTGGGGAATCCATATGACATCTGATTTTGTCGTACACCGGACAGTCCAGCAAAATCTGCTTCTCATCCTCGATATGGCTATCAGTGCCGCAGCAAGGGCATACTCGCTCCTCCCTAGGTATATAACGCCGTCCGTTACGCGCTCTGTTAGCCGCCAATGCCCAACAGCAAAGCCTAAACTGCATAAGCTTGCGATTCGCTGAACTCGGGATAAACATTGCGATATGCGGGAGCACCTCCTTCCTGCCCGCTTGCTCGGCCGTCAGACCCATCCAATGCTTATACTTTTCGCCATGTGAATTCCTGGTTGCTTGCCCTGCTCTGACGGGTACCCGTCTGGCTGGACATCTAGACGCGTATGCAAATCGGTCCTTGAACTCCAATACCACACCGTCTGGCAATGGCCTGTTCATTAGCCATTCCCCTCGTTCGTCTACTTCGTGTAGCCCTTGCGGGGCCTCTTTCCATACGTGTTGGCCCAGGAAACTTAGAAAACGGAGGAGTAGCGTCCCCCATCCGGGCCCTTCGGGGTTGGAGATGGACTCTGCGACCTCCTGTCGCAAAACTTGGTGTGCCACAGACCCACGCTGTAAACGGACATGGTTCCAAAACCACACAATCTGTTTGAAAATGTTGTAGTGCAGGGGTAACTGCGACAATTCGGCGAACAGGAGGCGGTGTGTTGGTCTGGCAGCTCCCACAATTTGTCGCATGAACGATAAATCTGAAGCTGCGCCGCTCCGTCCTTTAGGCATGCCTCGAAGGGCCCCTCCGCAAGGTTATTCGCATCACTCCGCTTTCTAATGAGCCTGTCCAAGACCTGCCTTGTGTCTGTGCCTCCGCTTTCACCCACTATGGGATGCTTGTTTAGGTAACAAGTTACAAGTTCTGCACAAATGCGGGGGTGTCCATAAAAGCCGGGGGTGCCATGGACGGTAAACCGTTTTTAGTGCGGTGACGTGGTGGACCATCATCGTCCTCCATCGTCCGCTTGAGCACGAAGCACCTAAGTGCAACGTGCCGGGTCTCCCAGACTTCCGAGAGGAACCTGGCTAGTGCCAGGGGTGGCGCCTCGGCCACAATCGTGCGCATGTCGCCCCTTGAAACGCGAGGTCACGTTGGTATTTAGCCAACCGTGTACTAGTGTAAGCCGGGCATTCCACAAAAACATGCATTTCATCTTGTAACCGCCCCACAGTCGCAAAGCCTGCAGGTGCGCGCGGTGTGCTCATGGCAGTTAGGACCGGTTAATCTCTAACTCCCAACAGCCTAACCGGAAACGCATAAGCACTTGATGCAAACGTTGGGGCATGGCGGTTAAGGGCTGCATGAAGGCCACTGCCAGCACAACCACTTGCTGCTAGTAGGGAAGGCCACTGCCAGCACATGCATAAACATATGGCGGCGTGTGCTCTCGTAATAGCGGGGTCTCTCTAACTAGCCAACCCCCTTGCTTCGTGTCCCGTTTCCCACGCAAGGCCTTCGCATCTCCCAGTTCAGCCACAGTGGCTCCCTTGCAGAGCTTGCTCATTCTTGCAGCCCAGTCCCGTCCCGCTCCAAGATTTCCCTTACAGGGCTGGCTCCGGGCAGTGCGGAGAAGTGTTTTCTTCTTCTTCGCTTCAGGTTATACATTTGTGGGTTAAAATTGCTGTCTTGCATCTAACCTTGTACGATTGTAAAATGCGACTTCCTTGCGACACAAAAGGCAAGGCAAGGCAAGGCAAACCCAAGGCAAGGTAAGAGGCCCGGTGTTGGCGCATTCCGGAGGCCGCGACAATGGCAGTTGGCGGACCCCAACAGGCAGCAGCCGATTCTCCCAGACACTGCATTTCAGCAGTTGCCTGGATGTAATGATATTGCGTGGAGGATAGCTCGGACCAGCAGAACAGCTCGACTGTTGGCTGCTCAGCTTTGCAACATGGGACTGTCTACGTTAGCTCTTTACCGCTTATTGCTCAGTCCTGCCGTGTTGCGTTACAGTAGCTGAGCCGTCAACCGCAAGCACAACTCAGTAGCAAAACAACCCGTTGCGAAACCCCCTCCCAACACCAACCCATTGTGAAAGTTGCACTAGTGGCCGATAGTAATGACAGGTCTTGAAAGGACCCACAAGTGCAACGATCGCTGGTCGGTATAGGTCAAGAGGGTCATCACCCATGCCCCAGCCGCGGTGCTGTCTTCACCATTATGCGCTCGAAACCTCCGCTCGAAACTCTTCCAGCACCCCGCTTCTGAACCAAGCTGCAATCCGCACGGTTGTTAACGGCAGCGGTCACACCTTCAGAGTGCAGTGAGTGTGTTCCAAAGCGCGGAGACAGCCCTGCCTCCACAAAGAGCCTCCACAGGGGCCCCGGAGCAGTCTGTATGGTTGGGTGGGATGGTTGTGTTGAGCGGCGTGGTATGCTGCTCCAAGCTCGGCATGCCATCCGAGTTGGCCACGACCCAGCGGAGGGAAGGGATGGTGGTGACGATGCCGCACAACCCATATCGTGTCCATCGGTGCCGCTTGCAGCACACACGGACCACTACAAGTGGGGCACGATATGTGTATCAGGGTCTGCATTTCAGGGGTGGCACTGGCACAAAGTGGGCGCCGTCGGCAAAGTCCACTGGGAATGCAACCGTGTACCATCTTGGCGGGTGGATACCCCTTGGGTGACCCCGAGTGGACGGGACTATGCCCTCTTTGAGTAACACAGACTAGCTTGGACGAGCGGAAAAGCTGCAGCCAAGACTAAGCTATCACGACTACTAACTGTAATTATTACGATGATATGATGACTATTATTATGGATTTTATGGATTTGGGCCACCAGGTTGCATGAGGCCCGAGAGACATGGTGAACCAAAGCCGTGCCTGGTGGCGGTTGGATGCATCAGGGCTTGTCCGATGATTGCAAAGGCGGAAACACCACCCAGCGACATTCGCACCCTGTCGCATGTCAGTATCTGGTGAAATTGTAAGGGGGAGCATTAGGTGACTGCTGTCGATGTGACTAAGGCAACTGCAAATTATCCTCGTGACCCCACGGTCTGGCCAGTTGTGCAAACAAAGCAGGGTTTAGCAGCCAAACGAAAGTGCCATGCCCCTTGAAGGGTACGTCCGCGAACTGGTGGCACTCAAGAGGGAAACAATCCACTGAGATCCAAGCCCTATTACCAGAGCAGTGGTGCGCACGCGTCATGTGCATGGCCACAAGGGGTCCACCTTTGGATCATCAAGTCTTTAGCAGGTTGGCTTTGATTGTCACCAGCACCCGCTGGGCGTCCAAGCACCCCTGCCGAATGAGGCTCGGTAACACATTAAACATCGCCGACAGTTCCAGGAGTCTGAGATGGACCCTCCAGTTCCGATACCCATCAGCCCACAGCAAGGGCACCGTCCTCAAGGACCCAACCAACCCAGCCGCCATACGAAAACTCGGAACAGCATCTGTGTGGATGGCAGATGGGTGCGCGTGGGAAGGTTGCCAAAAGAGTTTAACCCACCCTAGACTGCAAAGAAACGTGCAAGATTTGGCGACTCCGACAGCTCATGGCTGGCGGCAGGACCAGACCTGGACCGGTAAAACTGTGGACCACATTGGGGCAGCGATAGCGACATGCCCGAAAGGTCCGCGATCTCATGCACCCAGTAGGGAGTACAGCTGTTGAACGCTGCGCAGGTTCAACCATCCTCTGCACTGCGAGTCTCATCCTTTCGGTACGAATGGAGCCGTTGATGGTGTCAACCCGCCCCCAAGTACTCCGTCCACTGCTCAGGTTCGAAAGGGCATTCCTGGTTACTAGTTGATGATCCCACGTTAACCAAGTCGGTGAGAACCCGCTCTCGCCGCTGGTAGGGCGCCCGCACCCCGGTGTGCGAAAAAACCCCAACAGGCTGGTGCCAGCCTACTGGGCACTGCACAACCTGGGAAAATTCGCCCTTGCTGTGCAAAGCCTAAAATTGCCGAGCTTCCTTGTGCATATCAATGTGGTGATAGCCGGACTTCTGAGACACGGTGGGCAGATAGCCGTGTGGTTGCGGCACTTCACACAAGCATCCCACGGGACTTATACCTGTAGCTCGGCACCACACGGTGCTCGATAATATAACATAACGTGCATCAGAAATTAGGCGGAATTTGGGAGTGGCCTTCTTTAGGAACAAAACCGAGGGGCAATACGCAGCGCAGTTGGCAGTCGACTCGTGGTGCCGCCCCAGTTGCGACCAGTTCGGTGATCGCAAAATTCAGTCTGCTGTTAGGCCGACGGTTGGTCAGGCTGTAGGGTGCTTCGCACAACAGCGGGAACCGAACAGTACCCAGGCCATGACCAGGCGGGACTGCATAAATAACTTCCAACATGCTGTTTTGGCTTTCAACCGGGCCCTCATCTGTGATGGCTGGTTGGGCTTAGGTTTGTCTGCGCGCGGCAAGCTCGTCCCGGCCCTCCTTGCCTTCAATGTCGGGACAACTCTCATGTCATCCACGCGCCGGGGTGCACTTGTTCAGGGCCTGTCGGTACCGGTGTTCTCTCCGGGGAAATGCGGACACCTTGGTTGCGGGCACTGGCTTGCCGTGTCACGCCTCTTATGGGGCACTTGTGTCGGCCGACTCGAGGCCGGTCCGGCATCCGTAGGATAAACTTGCGTTTGACGCGCTGGTATAACCAGTGCTGCTGAGGGATCGCTATATTTTGAGCCAAAGAGTAACCGTAGACTTGGTCTTGTTGCCGATTGCGATGGTGTTGAGCCATTGCTGCGTACATAAGATCGCGCCCGACGAAGATGCACTGTCTGGTGACGACCACAGTGGTCGAAGCTGTATGACTTTGGCACAACCCCCGCCGATGTGCGGCCGGGCGCGCTGGTTGTTGCAGGCCGCCGGTCAGGAGACGGGAAAAGGGGCCAATCCTTCTTAAGTAAGCCTCTTCCTTCATTGAATATCGGGACAAGATCGTTTAGCAGACGAACGCGTGTCTGCAAACGCGCATGGACAGGTTCCCTTGAATGGCAATGAATTAGTAGCCATGTCCTGTTTGCTGGGCACCCAGGAAGATCTTGTATATGTAGTGTGTTAAGATCTAGAGAAGCACGAAGGCGAAGTCGGGATGTATCGGGGAAAACTGATGTGATGAAGCGGGAGTATGGAACCAGTGCGCTGTCTTCTTGTGCTTGCCCGGAGTGGGCACTCATGTTGGATGGTTGGGTAGCTGATGTGAAGTGGGGGCAAGGAAGGAAATTTGGTTTCTGCATACCCGCGCAGCTTTAGCACCAAAAGTGATTTAAGCCTGCCCACACAGTGGGGCACGACAGACCGATTTAATGGGTCTTGTAGCCTCTTTACCCTACCGCAGTCACTTGAGTATGTACCCTTTGCGGGGGTGGGGTGCGTCACTGTCGACTGCCAAAGTAATCACAACTGCGAGCCACATCCGGCCATAACCACAGTGAAGACGGGCAGTATTAGAGCTCTTCTCACAAGAGACTTCTGGCCACATCCAGCCTAAGCACAGCGAGTGTCCAAAATTGCTGGCCACATCCGGCCTCGTAAGCAGCTTGTGTGGGATGTTACTGGCCCCTCCAGCCTGTAGCTGTCGGCTGTCGGTCTTTACCGGCTCCAAGCAGGGGAGAAGAATATCGGAACCGTTAGTAACCTTAAGCAATTGATGCGCGAGATCCGAAAACTGCCCGGCCCATGCGACCGCCTAAGCAGTCTATGCGCGAGGTCCAAAAACTGCCCGGCCCATGCGGCAGCATGAGCCGTCTATGCGCGAAGTCCCAAAACTGCCTGGCCCAAACGGCCACATAAACAGGCGATGTGCAATTCCACGAAAACTGCCTGGCCCAAACGGCCACATAAACAGGCGATGCGCAATTCCACGAAAACTGCCTGGCCCAAACGGCCACATAAACAGGCGATGCGCAATTCCACGAAAACTGCCTGGCCCGAACGGCCACATAAACAGGCGATGCGCAATTCCACGAAAACTGCCTGGCCCGAACGGCCACATAAACAGGCGATGCGCAATTCCACGAAAACTGCCTGGCCCGAACGGCCACATAAACAGGCGATGCGCAATTCCACGAAAACTGCCTGGCCCGAACGGCCACATAAACAGGCGATGCACAATTCCACGAAAACTGCCTGGCCCAAACGGCCACATAAACAGGCGATGCACGAAGTCCCAAAACTGCCTGGCCCAAACGGCCACATAAACAGGCGATGCGCAATTCCACGAAAACTGCCTGGCCCGAACGGCCACATAAACAGGCGATGCGCGAAGTCCCAAAACTGCCTGGCCCAAACGGCCACATAAACAGGCGATGCGCAATTCCAGGAAAACTGCCGGCCCATACGGCCTCACAAGCAGTTGATGCGCGAGGTCCACGAAACTGCCGGCCCGAACGGCCACATAAACAGGCGACGCGCGATATCCAAAAAAACTGCCGGCCACATCTGCCCGCGCAAGCAGTCCAAGCGCGATAGTACTAGCTGGATATAACCTTGGGGAAAGCGCTCTCGGCTTCGTGACTTGTGGTAGTTAAGCCCGGTGTCCGGTAGTTGCTGTGGCGCATCACACCGCCAGTGCCTGAAGGGGGCCGGTGGACAGAGCCAGGGTAGGTTGCATGCCTGCTGCAGGAGCCTGTCGCGTTAGCCCAGCCGTTGACACCCACGCTGTCTGCTGGCCGCGTGAGCCCAGTGTGACTGGTGGTGGTTCGTCCATTTGGGCGTCCTCGAACATGCGATCCCCCGTTGCCCAGCGTCCTGGCAGGTTGTAAACCTTGCCCCGGAAATGTGGCGAATACGACAAAGGATCTGTACAACATTATTTGTAACTGGGTGTGACAGCCGGAGAATTCAGTAGTTGTGTAACAGTATGTGTGAAAGACGCTCGAATAAACGACACCGAAGTGGTACGCATTAGAATTCACAACTCAAGATAACAACATTTCATAGCGGATTTGAACTCCTAATGTATGGTGACGTTCCTAGCGGCAATGGAAGCTAAATAGCGGAGGTTGGTTAACCACGTGACAGCTTTCAGCAACGCCTGACCTTCTTCGGACGCATCATCCGCCATTGCTGTCCAAATTACGTTAATGCGCTCAGTGGCGACGCGCACAACATTCACCAAGGCCCAGGATCCGCGTAATTGCGGGTGGCTGGCTAAGGGCCGGCGGCTCCGCACATTGTAAAAGATTATCGCTTCGGGCTGAGCTAACATCAGCTGGGTTAGCTCCTCGTGCTCCTTCAGCCTCCGGTTGAAGTAAGCGGTGAGTGCTGGCGAAATAACTCGCGCTCCTCAGCTAGCTGCTGTTCGAAGAGGGCCCGCATTTCGGGAGTGAGCACTAATCTTTCTGCGCCCGCAGCGCCAATTTCCATAGCCGACATTCGATTCTAGTAATGCTAAGAAAAGACGGTGCAACACATAACTAGAGGACACTGTCCCAGCAGCGGGACACACCTCTTGGTAATAGTCAAAACAACGGCAGTTAAAGAACCAATGCGCCTGTGGGATCCAAGTAAGGAGCTCGGCGTCCCCTGCCGTACTGCGGTCCGGCATATGCATGCATGCATGCGCCCTACTTCCACGCACCACGGCAGTTCCTTCGCAATAACTTGCCTATCTCTACACTCATACTTCGCTTCGAGAAGTCGAAGCATAGCTTACGATGTCATCTCTGACTCTTGGACCCGTTTAACTGCTTTTGCAGCACGGGATAACCTGCCAAAACGTTGGGAACTCGTGCCTCATAACCACCCTTTCTTGTATGTCAACGATGAAAACAAGGTTGTTTGCCGTTTATAACGGTGTACAATGAGGAGGTCTGCGGGCTCACGTCTGAGCATCATCTTCTTTGTATGAGCGTGCTAACTGAGGATTTGTGTTTAGTAAAGTTAATATGGCATGCCCGGGTCCTTTTTGAATAGGCCCACAGTGTTAGCGGAGCTAGGACCCGTGTACGGCTATTGAGCGCTAGCATGACTATTTAAGCGGACCAAATCATTAACTTCGTAAGTCTAAGTTGATATTGAAAATCCCGACTCTCTTGGCATACGACCGTTTTTCGGCACGTAAGCAAAGTCAGCTTACGCTTCCCAATTGCACTGGACTATTTGCCAGTACCTTACCAACCACATCAGGCATGGAGTTCATTTTCATGCCTGGGTTGATTGTGCAGTCCAACCGCTTCTCTTACGGCACGCCAATGCTGGGGATGCTTTATATATTTATAAATATGAATGAAGCATTCTAAGAGGAGTAGTAGTCAGGCCCAGCATGGCTTCGTCCAGGACGTCAGGCTACATAGTACCGAACTTATTTTGGGTGACGACCTTCAGCTTCAGCGGCTGTTACACAGTCATATCATATTCTTATCATACTTTCTACCCGAAGATGCTGACCAATTTAGCATCGGTAAACACTGACCGAGCATCGTCCTATTCGTCCAGCGGTGGCCGAGCAATTCCACATTGCTTTTCACGTGCATGCACTTTTTCCAAAGGATAAACGGCAGAGTCGAGGCCTCGAAGATTTGTCTTGGCTTCTGCAAGATTGGTGTATGCTAGGCATTCCCAAGATGGGGCAAAATCTGCAATCTTAACATTCTTAATATTTTCGCTAGGACAACCTTGAACACAACGCCCAACGCAACGCATGCATCTCCTGGGGAATTGTGCTCGTAAATGGCTGCGAGGCTACATTTTCAGCTTGAGCCTTGTAGCCTGCAGTAGGAGTGAATAGGAATTTGGCTTCTGGGTCATAAGGCTTGGCTTACTTGCTTCATCCTGGCGCACGACAGCATGGGCAGGGCCAAGCGAAGCCAGGAGGGCCCCAGGACGACCTACCTGGTTCAAACTTTAGCTCTTTGCTTCGTTTATCATGCTGGTGAGCAACCCGATTAACTGTAACCATTTCAGCCATTTCGCCCTTGTAACCACCCATCGACGCACCCACTATCCGACACATCCTTCTCCCCTGTCTCGTCAACCTTCCCTTATGTCAGTTAACCCTCACTTCCATGTTCACACCTTGCCAACTTCCTTTCTGAATCTTCCCCCCTCAGACACCTTCACCCACATCGCTCGACTCCTAAACCATGCAGTATGCGTCGCACAGCCCTCAGAACCCTTCCATGCCCGTTTGGGTCCCGGCCTCCGAAACCAGTTCCCCGACTACCCTTGCCCTTCCGCCGCCGTCTCAACCGCCGCGGCCTCGGGCCCTCCGAATCGACAACAGCTTCGCTACCTCCTGGCCCGTCCGTTCGCCTCCCATGCGGCCTACCTCCTCCCCCCTCTCCTATCCGTTTCGGAGGCATGGTGCCTCGTCAGCCTCTTTCTTACATGGTCGTACACTGTCGTACTGCTACTACCGCCTTTGCGACGGCGGCTGCGTGCGGCGCCGCGTCTCCAGCTGGGGTGGCTGCTTGCCAACGTGGTCAATGATACAATTGTACCTCCGCTTTGTTGGGGCCTTATGACCGTGTGGCGGGCGGGAGGTCTGGCCGGGGGCAGTACGGCGCCGTCGCCGTCGCCGTCGCCGCCGTCGTCCGTGTTCCACTACACCCCTGTGGTCTGTGAGGCGCTTGGCTACGCAGCGTTTCTTGGGGTGAGTGTACGGATGATGGATGGGGGGCGGGGGGAAATGGGGAGGACCCGCCTTACATTCGCCTCCCAGACCTCCGTTAGCCGGCACGGTTAGTTAGTTAGTTGGTTGGTTGGTTGATCCTCTTTTGCTTCCTCTCCTGCTTCACCTTTATCACCACCATGATCACCTTTATTATCATCGTCATCATCATCACCTTTATCATCTTCACTTTCGTCATCTTCTTCATCTTCATATGAATTCCCCTTCTTCTCTTTCCTTAATTTTGTGTCGTCTCCTCAAAAACCCCTCCCCGCCTCTTTTTTGCATATGATTCCTTTCCCCCCCCCCTCGCCCTCCCCTCCCTTCCCCACCTCCCCCCACCTCCCCTCACCTCCCCAGCTGCCTCCCTGGTTCGTCCACGTGCTTGCCGTAATCACAAGCGCCTCCTTGTGGATGATCACGACGCTGCTCGTACGACACGGCTTGGTGGAACAGGTGCCGTACAGCCTGTCGGGCTTGTGGGTACGACATGTCATCACTTTAATCTGGGTTGTGGCTGTTACAGTCGTGCGCGGACGACTCTGGCGACAGGTACTGAGGCTCATAACGCCGGCACCGCCGTCGCCGCCGCCGCTGACACGGGCAGCGGACAGCAACGCCGACGGCGACGGCGCTGCCCTCCGCGGCGGCTGGGTTGCCGCCGCTGCCGCCGCGCCGGCATCGGCGTCGGCGGCAGGAGGACTCTGCAGCTATAGTACGGGGGCCCCCGGCGTTGTCAGCTGGGGCACGTGGTTGCGTCAACGGCGCCAGAGACCGCCGGTGCCGTCGCCGCCGTCAAGTCTAGCGCGGCCGCTGGCGCCGCTGCCGCAGCAGCAGCCTCTGCAACAACAGTCGCGGCTGCCGTACGTTGACGTGTCCTACAGGGAAGTGGAGCATCAGGAGCCGCAAGGCGTGCCAGGGTCGCGGCAGCGTTGGGAGGAGGGAGGTCAGAGCCCGCCGCCGCCGCCGCCGCCACCACCACCGCGGCCGCAGCAGCGGCAGCAAGCCAGTACGGCGGCGGCGGCGGAGTCTCGGTCGCAGCAAGAGGACAGCAAGCGACCGGGGGAGCTGACGGCGCAGAGCTGGGGCGGCGGGTTTGGCCCCCTCGGCGACGGCTGTTTCTTCGGACAGCTGGTGAACGGTTCCAATGGACCTTGTCATGCGTACGGCAATAGGCAGCGGCTGCTGCGGCCGCCGCCGCCGCCGCTGCTGCTTGCACAGCCGCACCGTGAGCAGCAATCGGGGGTGTTTGCCGTACCACCACCACCGACTGAGTGTCGATCGTCAGGCTCGCCGCGGGCACCGTCAGCGTCATCAGCGGCGGCGGCGGCGGCGGTGGCGGCGGCGGCGGCTGTAGGATTACGCACGCCTCGACCTCAGGCGTCAACATTGCAAGAAGGATTGTTGACCTTGTCAACGTCGCGGGTACGGCAGCAGCTGCTACAGCCGCAGCCCCACCTAGCGGAGCAACGGCCCGGCCTACATCCCCTTACGGTGGCGGGGACAACGAGTCGCCATCGAGGGTTGACCCAAACCGCCGCCGCCGCCGCCGCCGCCGAGGCTGTGGCGGCTACCGGCGGCGACGTTGCCTTGGGTACGATTGCTGCCGCCGCCGTTGCCGCCGCCGTCGTCGTTGCGGACGGCGCTGTTCACCAAGACGATGACGACGACACGGTGACCTTGGCAGTAGCAGCATCGGCACCAGCACAGGCAGTAGCAGCACAAGCAGCACCAGCACAAGCAGCACCAGCACAGGCAGTAGCAGCACAAGCAGCACCAGCACAAGCAGCACCAGCACAGGCAGTAGCAGCACAGGCAGTAGCAGCACAGGCAGTAGCAGGACGAGGAAATGAGGAGGAACAGGCGGAGGGCAAAAACTGGAGTGGGCTCCAGTGGAGTGACGCCGATTTATCCGCACTGCTTTCCGTACTGCGGCCCCAAGATTTGTCCGTACCCACGTCATCATCCGCGCTACCATCAACACCATCCACATCAACCGAGTTAACAGAACTAACCGAATCGACCCCTGCGCCGTCGCCACCACTATGTTCCCGTCAAGACAACAACCAACCCCTCCGTTTTCCTCGTCACAACAACCAACCGTATTGGCTTTCGGAGCCGGATGCGGCTGCCTACCGTCCTTGCCGTACAGCAGCGGCTGCGTCGCCGTTGACGTTGGAGGAGCTACGAGCAATGGTGACTGCGGCGCGAACGGCGCCGTACTGTCCCGATCCGTGGTTTGACCTGACGCGGGCACATGTACAACTGCCGGGGGTGGCGGCGGAGGCGTTGACTTCGGAGTGGCGGAATGCCGTACTGCGGAGGCTGGCCGCCGAGTAAGGCTATCTCAGCGAAGCGCGTGTTGGCGAAACGGAACAATGTTTGCCCGTGACCTGCTTGCCCGTGACCTGCTTGCCCGTGACCTGCTTGCCCTCCCACTCCCTTTCACACCGACCCCTCCCTTCCCCCCTTTTCACACATTCCTGCAACCCGCACCCTCTCACCGTGCCGGGGGCCCTGCCGACTGCTACAGCCTGCCCGACGGCTACACCGTAATCGGCCTAACAGCGTACGAGAGCAGCCAGATGGCGGAGGCTGGGGTTAGCGGAGGCGGAGGCGCTGCCGCCGTTGCGGCCGCTGCCACTGTCGGGCGGGGATAGGGGCGCCATCGCCGCTCCATCACGCGTGCTACTGCTGCTGCTATTGCTGTTACTGCTACTGCTGCTACTGCTACAGTTACTGCTGTGCTACTGCTGCTATTGTTGCTACTGTTGCTGCTACTGCTGCGGCTGCAACTGCCGCCACGTACACTAATGGCGAAGTCGCCTCTGCTGCTGCGGTCATCAGCCGCCCTGGTTCATCGCATTGTGTCTTTATCTGTAACGTTTTGCTGCGCTCGTTTCGCCATCGTTTCGATGACATCGGACATGATGACTAAGATGTTTTGCTTGGCTCCTTAGGAGAGGTGCCCCTCGGGGTTTGGGAAGGACGGTTCGTAGCCAACATACGTTGTCCCATCGGCGGCGTCTGGGACAGTGAATCCGGATTTTAAGGGGCTTAGAAGATTATTAATGCTTATGTCTTTGACACCATCATGGTCGTGATGGTGGTGGTGATGGTGATGGCGCTGGCGGTGTCGACATTTAGGAACTAGCGAAGAAAATGTGTTTGTGTTTTTTGTGGGGGGGACGGTGGGCTTGTCCTACGTGTCTCTAGGCGCCCTCACCTTCACATTGGTGGGACATGAGACTTTGTGTGAGTGGCACAACCAGGGGAACGGCGCTTTGTGTGTTGGGACCGCTAGGGGCAAGAGCAGGAGCAAGGCAAAGAGGAGGATGGCGGACGTCATTATTGGATGAATCAAGAGATGGATGGTCTGGTGGGTAGGTGGAGGGAGGGAGGGAGGGCGGCGGCAATGCAGCTGTGCTGCATTCGTCGCTGCGATATCTTCTTGCTGCTGCTGCAGCGGCTGCTGCCTTTCTACTGCCGATGTGAAAGGATTCTGTTAATGATAGTAGTAGTAGTAGTTGTTGTTGTTGCTGCTGCTGCTGCTGTTTATTATTGACGCGTGAAATATTGTTGACGATAGAATGCTGCTATGTCGTACATCCGAAGCTCTTGTCCATCAAGGGAATTGTACTATTGGTGCATGCGCATGTTGGTTGGTCCAGCAAATTTGATAGTGAGTGTGTTAAAGAATCATTAACGATTACCATGATGATAATGCTGATAATGCGGACAAGAACAACATTATTATATTTTGCTGATAATTATGATAATGCTGCTGATGCTGCCGATGATAATAATAATAATAATAATAATAATAATAATAATAATAATAATAATGGTGATGTTGGCAATCGCACGGGAAGTGCAATGGGGGGAATACGACAGGCGTTGCATGTGCATGCTAGACCGGTGTATGGGAAGGAAAGATAGGCGGTGTATGTATGTCAGTACCAAGGTTCTTTAAGAAGAGGGGCGGACTGGGAAGCTGATGGTGGTTCGGGTTGTGGTGGTGATGATGGTTGGATAGCATTGTATGATGTGTATGATGTGTGAAACAGGGGGGTGTATCTTCGCCCGTGGCAGCTACCCTGCGAAACCCTGCCTTCCCCGGTATTTCGGGGCACCCTCATCCAGTCACCCTAGTCAACTCCATTCCTGGTCGGCTCGCAGGTTAACTTTATCCCAGGTCACCACCGTCCATCAACTAGGGGCGCAATGCCTTCCACCATCGGAAGGACTTTTGACCCTAATGGGTATCGATCCCTGGATCTCCCGGGGGCAATGGTCGCGCCTTACCGGTAGTGCCAAACCCTGTGTATGCGGTTGTATGTTCGGCGGTTTGGCAGCGGCCAGCGGAGCATAGAGGGCCCCTTTCGAGTGTATGATTTTAAAACGCTGGATGTGTAAATTTTCAACAGCATTGAACGTTTATGGGCGGACACAGCGCGGTAGGTAAGAGACGGGGCGTGACGAAGGCGTGACGAAGAGAGAAAAAAAAACCTGTGGACGTTTGTTCGTTCAGGGGTCTGCAAAGTTTGGTTCGTTACGCATCATGCTCCTATTGCAGCGGGAGGAACACAGTTGTTTTTGAATACCTAGGTCAGCAATTTAGGCTTAGATGGTAATTAAGTAAAGGCTATATACTTTAGGTAGGAGACAGAAAGCGGCGGCAAAGGCAAAACAGTTACAATTACGGTTACAGTGCCCGCACAAGCGCGGAGGTCCGTCGAAGCCGGGGGGCCCATGGACCGTTAGTGAAAGTTTTATCTGCAGGGAATTTTCGGGGTTCGACCCTAATAAGGAATCTGACGTGATCAGTGTCTCAGCCGCAACATGAGAGATGCAGAAGGACGTGAGGCCGTCCGTCTCCGAGCTGCATGTGTTGTGTGTCTGTTTCGTAACGACAAGAGGATGATGAGGGTAGACAGACAGACAGACAGACAGACCAGACCTCCACTCGTTCCGTCGTACGCCGTCACATCGTTGCACAGATCCCGTTTTCTCCTTTTTCGTGCCGTGTCTCGTGTCTGTGTGTGCTGTACTCCACGGCGGTTCGAACACCGGCATTCCATATGAACACGGCTACCCTCCACGGAAAGACAAAGCTTAGGTATTTGCCGTACCACTGATCGGCTACGTCAGCACCTTGCGAAGGTGTCCCTCCCTCCTTCCCTCCCCTCAAGGCTGCTGCTCAGGGCCGCCCGCTTGCCGTTGTGGTTGTTTTGGTCCTGTCGCTTGCCGAGGGCGCGCGTCGCATTGCGCACAACTCGCCATTCATATGGGCGCCATGCTGGCCGGGCTGCTGACTGCGTTGCGACCAAATCATCAAAATATTCGGTGTAGCTCAAAGCCGCTCCAGAGTACTCCCTTTGATGTTCTTAACTAGCATTCGCGATCGCTCTCTTCAGAACATACGAAAATCCCTGGAAAGATATGGTTAAACATTTTCGAGCTGCAAAGTCATTGGAGTTTGGTATCGACAATGAACAACCATCACGCACTCCTCGTATCCCGTTGATTTCCACTGGACTTTCCTCGTCCTTTTCCTCGTCCCATTGGCATCGACGGCCGTCGACGGTTGGCGCGCTTAAGTGTGCTTTCCGATCGCGCCTGCATCTGTTCTATTACACCTCAGCTTACTTTTTTCTTTTGTTTGAGTTCCCTTACCTTTTGCTTTGGGTTCCGCTCTCTCTCCCTCTCTCCGATTTTCGTACCCGGGATCCGATGTTGCGCTTGTTAAGAACAGCAAAGCGCCGGAAATCCCCCGGGTCCAATTAGTGCTGTTACCATCCACTGGTATATGAGTGTCGGTCATTTCCAACAGCGCTTTCTTCCGGCCGGCGTTGCGAAGGGGGGACGCGTGCGCAATTGCAAGGTCAAGTAGGGTTCAGGCTGTTGTCGATCCTCTTACGAGCTGAGTTCTGGTTTAAGGCGTATAATCTGCGAGATTCGTTTAATTATGTCTCCTTATAAGCTCCTGCAGAGAGCTGTGTTGAACATCCGCCTCAGTAAGTATAATAAACAGTGCTCAAATTGCTTCACTAAACGAGCACTGCGCAACGGCACCGGGATTTATACAACAGAGCCAAATCGGTCACTAAAGGAATTAAATGATTTTTAGCACAGTACCAAAATTTAAGAGTCACAGAGTATAGTCGGCAGCCCTCCGGACCATCCTCTCGCTAGCTCGCATCTTGGGCGACTACCGAAAGGTATCTCGCTCGTGAAATGATTGCTGGCTATCAAAAGCTGAATGATGCATATCTCGTGCTCTTGTGTCCTAGCCTTTTACTTATTATAGTATGTCATTGCCTGGTGGTTGGGGGAGCGCGGCCGTCGACCAAGGGTACGTAATCCGGCCGCAAGGAAGCGGTTGACCTCGCGAGCCGACGCGGTACACCACAGTACCGGAGCCGAAAGGAAGGGTACCTACCAGCTATTGTAATGCTACGATGTTGTTATTATTTTTGCCGGTTCTATGATTTTTAAAACGAACTGTTTCCTGACACAGTACCGAATGCTGCATCCACAAATTTCACGGCTTGAATGCGAAAAGAAGGCAGACCAGCCAGGTTAAGATATAGATGGAGCTTCAGCATTTGCGTACAGTAATTTTGACGTGCGCAAGGGGCACGTGATGCGCCATTCACGCTGAGGCACGGCATGCGAGTATGACAGTTTTCTTCATGACGCACGAATACCGACAAGTATGCACACAGCAATAAAGTTTTGTTTAATTAAATTACGGGCGCCTGTAGCGAGGACTTCAGTTGTGTCCACACTTCACAGTACTTCACACGCAACACTATGGCGGCTTTTGATCATTGTCAGGAATTCATGCAATTGCGTTTAGAACAATCAACCTACGAGCCGCAAGCACCGTGGACTCCTGCTTCAGTTCGCAGCAGAGCTTCCGCCGATATTCCGAGTCCTCCAGTCGCAGCAGCGCCAAGCAAGCACAAGATGGAAACAGTAGCAAGGTGCTTATTTGGAGCTCCTTCAAGGCTGGAGATTGAGGACTACTTTCGTCAGGCAGCGGCTCGCCGCAATCCACTGTTTGAGTAGCGCGCAGACAAGAGGAGCCTTTGCAGATGTACTCCAGACAAAGTCAGGAACGCTCACGCAACGTTTTGATATCGTCTTATGGCAGCGATCTTCACTTCGGATTCAGCCTGCCAGTTTGCTACTGCCGCTGTGCTGTAATAATGGGCTTTAATTGGATGATACGTCAGGCAGCCCCAATGTTGAATGTCAGAAGCTGTGACACATGGAATTTGGGAATGCTATCGTTTGCCTCTCCAGTTTTATTTAGTGGGGCGGCAAGCTGCGGTAAGGGTTCTCTCGCGCTCTTGTTCGTTGAACACAATCAAAGAGATGGTATATATCATGGCCATCCAACAGGCTGCAAAGCCGGCATTGAAATGTTGGACATCAATTTCGTCCTCGAACTGCGGCGATAGTAAGGGGGCAGGCAGGATCGGCAATTCGTTGTAAGCTGGAAAGTTCCGTTGTTCGCCCGGATCAGGCTTGGTAAGGTACCTGGAAGCCATTAACCGTTCCTATTGTTCAAGTAGCAACCCGTATAATTTTGCACTTGGCTCGCATCTGCGTGTGCGTCGTGCGGTGCTCTGCGTGCCGGTATCGGAGTATGATGGGAGTCCGTCCGACCGAAGGATTTGCGTGTCATGAGGACGGGTGCAACAGCGGATAGAATCCGCCTGGAACTGGGGATTTCTGAGCTTAAAAGAAGTGTCGCAACAGCGTCAGGCTGGCGGGCGGGGCTTTGTTGGTGCATCGGAAGGAGCACACGAACCACGGCCTGCGCGAACAACGGTACGAACTACCTGAACTACTGTGGCTGGTGACCCTGCCGTATTGTCGAGTGCGCGGTGATGGGGGGAAACAAGGCGCATTCCTGTTGCTGTTTGTTCTGTGACATCGTTGTTGTAAATTGTAGAACGCATGTATCAGTTTGATGAGCCGCCCGTCCTAAGCTGGCCTTGGGTTTGTGGTGATGACATGGCGGCGTGTCGTTCAAGAACATCTTCGTTCGCCTTACATGACTCATCGTGGAGTAGCGTTTTGTGGAAGACGTTTAGCTAAAAGTTGGAATGCTGGGTAGGTTTTCCCCCTCCGTTTTTTTGAACCCCGTTCAAACCTGAGCGGCGGTGAATGAGTCGCGGACATTATGACAGGTTTCTTGTTGGTGACAGAGCGCCGCGTACGGCAGGGTACAGAACGATGCGACGGGTTGGACCTGGTTTATGGATGCGTGCATTCATCACTCTATGCGGAGCGTTATGTCCTTTCTTTTTGTGTGTTGCATTCATTATGCTTGGAGCGAGGGTCTTTTTTAGAGACCCAACCACCGAAGTGGCGGAGTTGTCGGCGTTGTTGTATAGCTTGTTTCTTTACTGAAAAAGAGATTTGAAAAGAGATCCTGAATAAGATGGAAAATGATTTAACCCTACATACTTCTTGGATTGGAGGTGTGATTGGAATGTGTGGGCGAGATATGCTGATATGCGGTGGTAAGGAGTCGCCGACGAGGGCGTAAGTCGAACGGCGCACACACGCGTGGCATCGTAACCTTTGCCAACCTGAGACCCAAACTGTTCTTGTTCCTGCCCGCGTCAGCAATTTATATTACAAAAAATGTTTTGTGCTACGTTTTGCGGGTCGCGCGCGGCTTTTGCGTAAACTGTACAAAACAGTTGTCCGTTACAGCAGTAGCATTGCTTGACTTTGGTACTCACTGAGGTAATATTGCATAATTACTTAAAAGGTTTACACAAGCTCGTTCAGTCGTCGCACTGTGCAGTCCTCTACGAGTGTTGCGCATCTAGGAAGTGCGGTCGACTCCATCCCTCGACGGCGTGCGGCTAGCTACCGGCCGGGATCGCACCACTACCGCGGCAAGAAACGCAAATCAAACTGCCTGCTGACCTTGCGCAATCGCAGTCCTGAGTGTATGTAGCGTTTTGGGAGGTGGAGGTAGGTCGGATTTGTTTCCCCTCTAAATTATTGTTAATGCATGTCGTACGTCTCGCAACAGAAATGTTGGATGCCCACTGGTATGCATCGACGAATACTGAGATAGTTGGCGAGGATCATTCGTTCTGTTAAGTAAAGCTAAGCGGCACCTTGTGCTCTGTGGGCTCCAGGGCCGACGAGATACTGAATAAACTGAATGTTCTGCTGATGCGCCGCAAGGCGCCGTACATCCGCGCTTTTGAGCACCACCACCATGTACATATACATAAAAAAATGCATACGTACACGACTTATATCCATATTGCGGCCTGCAATGCATGGGATAAATTGCTGTGGTGGTGAGGTTGGTGAGGGCTGAGGCTTCGAGTACTGCGTTGTAGTAGTGCTGCTGCTGCTGCTACATACCCCGCGACCTTTATTTCCGGGTTCTTTGTCTGCATGCAATGCGAGCATTCAACTTTATGTAGGTATATATGTATGCCTCCTTACTTTTGTGAATTGTATGTGCATTTGTGACACACATTGATGGATCTTTAGAGCTTTGCGGCCTACTGGTAAATTAGGCGTATTATCAACCTCCGAAAGGAAGGTTATCCCATAAATCGAACATAGCGGGCTTGAGCTACTATTTTACTTAATACTTATACTTATATATACATATGTAAGTTTGTGGAGTCTTTCGTGTACATTCTACGCTGCGCGGCGCTATGCCGATTGTTGTTGATGGGGTGTTACACTGTGGGCGGCTCGTCCCCGAGAAAGGACGAGCACCGGGGGCCCTGACCGGGGGCCGAAACACAGCGCAGGGATGGGCGCGCGGCCCTACGTCCGTCTGTTCCTCCGCGCGCGCCTCTTTCCCTCACTCACGCCAACCGGGACGCTCTCCCAGCCCCTGGCCAGGCAACGCAGCGGCGCAGAAGACTGCGAACCGATTGTGTTGGTTGTTTTGATGTGGGGCGACGATTATAACGTTATCCCAGCTTGGGATGTGTATACCTTGATTTCCACTAAGAGTTTTGGTGGTTTGCATAAAATATCTGTATATAAGACGTACATATCTACTGCATTGGCATAGACATAGGCTTTCATACATCTTCCTGAAGTTTTAATTCGGCGTTTATTAGCTATCTTCTGTAGTGTGGTGATCTGGGCTTTAGGAGTATTCGCAAAAATGGACTTTGATCTTTTAAGTCCAAGAGTGTCCAAATACGTCGCAGCTGCTAACGAACTGTCACGAAATCGACATGACGGTTGCTGCGTCGGTCGTTTGTTGGTTTGGACGGTTAATGATTTTTTATCCTCACACGGGTAACTGTAACTTGTAAAAGCTCGGAATGCGGAAATGGTCTGGAAAAGTGCTATTTTTTCAACCACAAATTATAACAACAGGCCCTGTCGATTAACAAATGTTAGTGCTCTGTGTACAGTACGGAGTGTCGTACCCATTTCCATCGTACATTTTCCAGGATGACGGGCAACATCACCTGCTCAACATGAACACCGTGAGTACCGCTGCTCGTCTAGTTTGTCTGGAAGCGCGCTGATCTTACTTTACCAACGAACATCATAACCGCCCCCAACCCAACCGACAACGCCCGTGTATGCCGCCCAAACATCAAGTCACCCGTCTTCTTCATTCTGCTCGAATTTCATTCGCCATAAACCCATCTCCCGGCCTACACCTTTTCCCTATTCTACAAGCACCACACACAAAAATTCCAGAAAACATACCCCCACACACTTTACCTCCTCCTCCATCTCCCTCTCCTTTTCATTCAACTACCTTCCTTCGTTCATTTGTTTCTCCATTCTGCCTAAGCCGCTCTCATGAAGCGCCGCTGGCGCTGCAGCTGCTACAGCTGCTGCCGCTCCTGCTGCTGCTGCTGCTGCTGCTGCTGCTGCTACTGTTGCTTCCGCAACAGAAGATATACGGCTTTTCCCATGGGGTCCTAACGCACCCGCATGACGAAACCCCTAAAACGCCCGTATAAACCCTCCCAAACGTTTGCATAATAGGAAATCAGTCTCGGGCAATACCGATCCCTTTCACGCCGTTAAGTCTGGCGGCTCGGCCAGCAGATCAGAGATGCCATCGAAATATGGATGATGCAATGCGGCAGCAGCAGTAATCCTGCAGGGGTTCGTAAGGGTGGGGGCCCCAAATCAAGAAGCACATGAACAACACTAGTGGAACACGAATGAACAGACATTGTAAATACAGAGGAGCTTGTAATATTGACATCAATTATTTCGGTGCGCTTCAATATTCAGTCTTCATTTTATCCATCAATTATTTTAGGCAATGGATGATGTATGTGCCATCACACACTACTAAAGCTAAAACCCCACATGGTTCGGACGTGTGGAGGGAAAAGCATCCCTACGCAACACCTACACTGTAACGCCTACATTGTAACGCCTACGCTGCAACGCCACACTGTAACGCCCACACTGTAACGCCTATGCTGTAACGCCTTCGTCCCCAAGTGTGTTGGCTGGCCACTGAAAAGGCCTCCCGAGATGCTGGTGAAGCATCTCGCGCGTAAAAAATGTAGTTGTTGTGTGTGCCGTACAGTGTACCAGCTACTACACCCTGCAGGGACTGTTGGCGTCCAAGGGCTGAAGTACGAAGAACTGCCACAAAGTAGCTTCTGTCCGAATGCCACATCGTCGCATTACGCACATTCCAGTCCATTTACGTCACCGTACGACACATGTATGACGCACCGCTGTGCAGGGTCGTACTCCAGCATGCGCCTCATCAGGTCGCGTCCCTGGAGATCTAGCCGCGGCGCGATCTGCGGGGCTCGTGTATGCGTTGGTGTGTGCGTGTGAGAGAGGGCGAGTGTGTGTGTGTGTGTGTGTGTGTGTGTGTTTGGGGTCCGTACATGCACAGTGTGTGGGTTGTATGCGTTCGAAGTGTGGGGGTGACGGGGGGGGGAGACAAACGACTGGCGAAAGAGAAAGACAGTTCAGGATAAGACAAATGCTGCAGAAGTATACACTGACCAGTGATGACTTGGGGCGGAGGAGTTTTGGGGTGGGGTGGGGGATACATGCAAAGCCAACGAAAACAACTCCAGACGTGTGCATATGTGTGTGTAGGGGGGTGGGGGTGGGGGGGAGAGAGTAGTTCTTTTCCTCTCCCCCTTTTTGGGCCTTTTGGTGGGAGCCTCATCTCAGCCTTCCTCCGGGGGTGACTTCCCGCTCAGGTACACACCTAAAAATCAACCACGCCTACTCCTAATTCTGTGCGTCATTTTCATTACGTCATTTTCATTGCGTCATTTTCATTACGTCATTTTCATTACGTCATTTTCATTACGTCATTTTGATTGTGTCATTTTCATTACGTCCTCACCACACACGGGGGAATGTCATTGGCAGCTTTTCCGCATCCTTCCTTCCTAGGGTTGGGGTCTCTTTCGCACTCTCTATCTCTCTGCAGCTGGCTTTCCATTGTTGGGGTTGGTTTGGTAAGGAAAACCACCGCCCCAGCGGGACCCCCCCTCCTTTCGTCCTCCCCCCCCCCCTCTCCCCGCCCTTACCCTGCGCGTCCCCGTCGTACACCCCACATGCCACGTCACCCTCTCCCTCACTCTCTCACCTCCTCCCAGGGACGGGCCCGGAAGCGGGGCAGTGCGGGGCGCCAGTGCGGCAGGTCCGCCAAACCCGGCCACGCGGACACGTCAGGGGTACCCAGCTTCTCAAAAATTTTGAGCAGCGTGTCGATTTCCTGGTTCGGCGTGAAAGATACGGCACAGGTACATGAGCGAATGGCCCGTACAATATATCCAACACTGGCCAATTTAACGATCTGCGCCAAACATGGATTTAAATGTTTTTTTTATTAATTATGAAAACATTGTCAGAGACTGTTGTTGCCGTACACTTAAGTGACTCTGCGGTTTCAAAATCGTGATCCGTTGCGATCCGGGCTGACAATCCGTTGTTTTCCCCCTTCCAGGTGTTTATTATGGAACACGAGGGATCACGAGGGAAAACAAGAAAAAAGGAAACAAGAAAATTACATACATACTTACCGTGGAGCCCGGGAATAACGGCCAGCGGTTGGACAGCTCCAGTACGACACACGCCACGCTCCAAATGTCCACTGGAGTGCCGTACACCTTTCCCCCCAGGAGCAGTTCCGGCGGACGGTACCACAATGTCACAACCTGCGGTGTGTTCGTGTGTTGATTTGTTCGTGTTGATGTGTTGATTTGTTCGTGTTGATGTGTTGATTTGTTCGTGTTGATGTGTTGATGTGATCGTGTTGATGTGTTCGTGTTGATGTGTTCGTGTTGATGTGTTCGTGTTGATGTGTTCGTGTTGATGTGTTGATTTGTTCGTGTTGATTTGTTGATGTGATCGTGTTGATGTGTTGATGTGATCGTGTTGATGTGTTGATGTGTTCGTGTTGATGTGTTCGTGTTGATGTGTTGATTTGTTCGTGTTGATTTGTTGATGTGATCGTGTTGATGTGTTGATGTGATCGTGTTGATGTGTTGATGTGATCGTGTTGATGTGTTGATGTGTTCGTGTTGATGTGTTCGTGTTGATGTGTTCGTGTTGATGTGTTCGTGTTGATGTGTTGATGTGTTCGTGTTGATGTGTCGTGTTGATGTGTTGATGTGTTCGTGTTGATGTGTTCGTGTTGATGTGTTCGTGTTGATGTGTTCGTGTTCGTGTGTGTTTTAAATAAAAAGTTCGTTCGGAGGGGAAGGGGGTGAGTAAGAGGGGAAAAGGCCAGCTGGTCGGACCAGGCAGGGTCTGGACGGGGAAGGGTCGCGGAGGGATTGAAGCGCCGAGGTTCATCCTGGCATATCATCCTCGCACATATATCGCACACCCACCCAAAAACCTCTCATAAATACACACACATACACATTCCAAACCCGCGGCTCACCTATACACACACGTACACACACACCGATACATACAGATGCGCACACGCATACCTCCGGGCTCAAGAGCCGTACAGGCAGTCCGAAGGCTCTAGAAAGGCCGAAGTCCGCAATCTTTAGACGGTTTCCCCGGTGCAAATCGATGAGCAAATTCTGCGTGGTGAGAGTTGCGGGTTTGCCTGAGGGAAATATTGTGTTTCACAAGGTGCTGAGGAAGGGACAAACTAACTTTCCTCTCTTTCCTGTACACTACTGTACGACCGTACGACACCAGGGGTACCACCTGGGGGGTGAGCTGTCATACCTGGGGTTTCAAATCTCTGTGTAAGATACGGCGGCGATGGCAGTATTCCAGCCCGCTCAGCATCTGATACGTGTAGTACTGCAGTGCCGTACACCCCACATGTACAAACCAGCGTCACCGTTATATCCGCGGCGGGGAGGGGGTTTGGGGCGGGGGGGGATGTGGGGTGTTGGGACCGTGTTTATAATACTGTTCTGGTGGGATTTTAATGGCTGGATTCCTGGACCGGATCAGATCCGACCAAATTTAGATCTAGCCAGGCCAGATCCCAGATTCTGCCGTACCTTCACGAGGCGCGAGTTGGATCCAAGCTGTGGGTAGATGTGCATCAGGCGATGAAGATCCAGATCCTGAATTTAAGGACGGGGCTCGTACGTTATTCAAGGATAAGGGTTTTACATTGTTTAGGGTCTTTCAGGTTTTTTCAGGGCTTTTAGGGTTTAGGGTTTAGGTTTTTAAGGGTTTACACTTTTTGCCCATCCAACCCCCCGGTGCTTCTCCCGGCTTAGTTGTCAGAGGGTTAATGCCGTACTCACCTCTCCCTTCCCTTCCCTTCCCTGCCCCTCCCTACCCTACTCGACCGTGGGGCCGCCCTCCTATGTCCACCTTCGGGCGGACGGTCCAATCCCCCGAATCGCCCCGAGTCGGACCAAACCCTACCATCAACCCCCAATCCTTTTTACCCCAAAGCCTATATTTCCCATTTCACCTCGAACCCATTCGCAATCCACATCCTTACCAGAAAGTCAAACACCAAAAACAGTTGTGTCGTTCGTTGGGCATCGGAGCTGCCGTAGTCACGAGTGACCTCCCGCAACCTGCATGTATGTATGTATGTATGTATGTATGTCGTTACAGGGTAGTTAAGCTTCACCAGCGGCCCCCTTTCCCTTGGAGGCAGTTCCCGAGGCAGTATGTATGTATGTATGATGTGTGTGGGGGGGGGACAGGGGGGCATAACTTCGCCCTGCGGCCGCTACCCTGCGAAACCCTGGCTTCCCCGGTATTTCGGGGCGCCCTCATCCAGTCACCCCCTAGCCAACTTCTCAGTGGGGATCGCTCAGGTTTCGCACCTATGTAAGCGCCCGTACGGGTGAGGGTTTCAGCGACCCCTATAAACGTTAACATAACAGCTCAAACAGGATAGCTAGCACACAGCGAGCACAACCACAGTCACCCAGTGATAACAATACGGAGTGTTGGCCTTTCACACAAGTCACATGTACGATATGTGTGCGGCAACTACTTCAACCGCTAACCGCCAACGCTAACGGCCAACTCCCACCTGACTACGTTATCGTGCCGCAGCTCCAACAGAATGGCGATCTCGCGAAGTGCACTGCTGGGAACACCCTCTTCGCTGTCATCCGGCCGCATCTCCTGCCGTACAACATGTCGTACAGAAGCCGTACGGATGCAGATACCAAGATTTTGAATATGCACAGCTAAGGCATGCAGACCCCCCCCCCCCACACACACACACAGGCACACACACAGGCACACACACAGGCACACACACAGGCACACACACAGACACACACGAACAGACACACAGACACAGGAACAGACACAGTCTTGCCCCACAAGACCAAATCACAACAACCACCACCAGATGACTCCTCCTCCGGTTAGATTTATCCATGTTGAGGTATCGGATAGCTAGGGTAGCTGCTAGGATATGTAGTCCATGGGGCCCCTACACGGGCTTCGACGGACATTCCCGCATTCGTGCGGAACACTTTTGTAACTTGTAACTGCTGTAGACTGCGCCTAGCATCACAGATTTGCCCGTCGGATCTTTTGCCTAAATTTACCGCAGATTACCGTACATTATCGTACCCTTTTGGTCGGCTGTACGAGGGGGGTTGTACATACCGAAGCTCCGCTCTGCCTAAAACGGTTATGAACTTACGATGGTTGAGTGGAGGCGGAGGTTGCAGGTGTCACCGAAAGGCTCGTGCACACGAGGCGGCTCACGCTCTCCTCACAAACGCACAAACATGCAAAAACACATACGTGATACGTGATCAAGATCATCACACATGTACACATGAAATGCGTGTCCGTGTCCGTGTCCGTGTCGGATATGAAAACACCGCACAAGGCACGCGCCCTGCATAGATGGATGCATACGCACATACATTTACATACATATATACGCACGACACGCATTTAAAACACACCGATGCACACCTTGACAGCCACGGTTTGCCCGGTAGCCACCTCCGTAGCTCGATACACCACCCCGTAGGTGCCCTCTCCCACCTTGCGCTCCAGCCGGTACTGTGTACGGGCATGTACGGATATGTACGGATATGTACGAGCATGTACGGGTGTAACAGAAAGGAACATCTCTTTCACCAAAACTCCTCCAATGCCCAAATCGATTAGTACGCAAGCACCTAACGCTAGTGCGCGTACGTCTCAAAACATTTTTTTGTTTTTTGCCCCATTTGTTTTGTGGGTTGAAGACCCGGTGACGAGTAATTGCACCGAGAAATTGCTGAAGGGGGACTGAACTGCCTGGTACCAAGGCGAGGTGTTCGTAGGAAAGTTTCAGAGAACTTTCCACAACAAGAACAAACATACAGCTAGCGGTCCTTAGTGCTGGAAGGCAGGAAAGCGGGTTAATGAACTGCTGGGGAAGTGAAAACGCAAGGCCCATGTGAACAGAATGCGATTGCCATAGTGGAACGTCTCCCGCACAACACATTGACCAGTCGTGACCCGCGGGTCGGTCTTGGGCCAAGCAATCCACTCATCATATTGAATCTCTGCTCGCGGGCTCGCCCTTTTAGCTGCACCATTCCAGCCAGTCGCACGCCATGCAGTCGTCCAGATAGCCATAGATAGGTTTTCAACTCGGCAGCGCATTGAAGCGTGCGCTGGAGATGTGGTGCTGCTGATGTTTTCCTGTTTCCTCACGCTTTACTTTAAGTAAGCCAGACAAAGGAGTGCTTTGGACGGTAGACTCCGGAACGATCGTGTGCTCATATAAACAGAGGCAGATGGATAACCGAGGCAGATGGAATTTGAAGCGTGCGCGACGCTATAGCAAAACTTTTGAACCGAAATAAAAAATGTCGTTTCAGGTGTCCTTCAGCACGGGTTTTCCGCTTTACAATATCCAAACAATAATAAACAGCCGAGATGACATGAGACTGCACACCAGGACGTCGTGATGATCGGAGAGATGTGCAGCCATCCAGACTTGCCCGGTTGTTTAGCAGGCGAGGAAGACTGTCCGCGGCAGCCCGCGGGTACATAGCTGCTGCTTTTCTCGAATTGGTGGACAATTGGTGGACGTCGGTGGCGCACAGTCTATCGTAAGCCTGCCTGTCGCCAGACGGCAAGGATCAAAGATGTGCCACGTCGTCCTCCGGTGGTGAACACGAAGATTAGCTGGCGCGGTGGATGTATCACAAAACGGCAAGAGCATCCCTTTGCTCCGTTCTCTCTTCGTGATGTATGTATGCTTTGCCAAACAGCACCAAACAATCAGGGGGAAAATGCGACTGGTAGTGGGTACCTGGTTAGCGATCTGGATCAAATCGGCCAGCTGAGCAACACAGACACAGCAGCGTGACGAGCTGAAGTAAAATTCAAAATCCCGTTTGCGCGCGCCAAAAGTACGTCGTCGCTGTACGCCTTAGCCCAGGCGCTTACAAATCCAAAAAATATCTTCAAATATTTCCGACATGAAGCATCGCCAAGCATAATGAAAATCTTGCCAGCAGCACGTTCTCGTCTAAATGGATCCCCTTCGCCGGAGCACGCAACTCTATTTGGTCTAGCAGCATGCGGCTCCCTCTTCAGCCGAGCCGTGCTGCACCCCGCTGGTCTCCTCTTAAAACTGCGCAAAGCAGTTCGAAGCACAAGCGCGGACAACCGGCCGGGCTACACCCGTCGGCTCGGAGTACTTCGAAGCACCTACAAAGCCCTTCCAGCATAGTTCCTAATAAGCATAACTCCTAGCATAATTCCCTAGCATGGAACGAATTCACGAGAAATTCAAATTCCCTTTCTGCTTCCCTGGGTGACCGCCACACAACCAGCAAGCTCTCTGTCCTCAAACATCCCTACCCATTCACTCGCAGCCACAATCACCACCACCGCGTCAATCGCCACCGTTGCCGCGCCTCCGTGCGCCTCACCACCTTCACCACCTTCACAGGCAATCCGCTCCCCCCATAAACTCGGCCCCCGGCCCCAGACTGCCTGCGCCCCTCTGCACCTGAGTCAGCACACCCGGGTTCCGGAGCAACATGATGCGCACGTCCACACCGGGCAGCAACCTGCAGGGCGGCAAGAGTGGGTGGGTGTGTATGGGGGGGGAGGAGGGGGGAGGAGGGGGAAAGGAGGGAAGACTAATCATGAACGAGTGAAGCTAATACCAAGAATATACACTGATACGCCAGAAGTATGTAAGTATGTAAATAACTAACCATTCGCGACTTGTGGGGACTGGGAAATGGGAGTGGAGGGTGGGGTGGAGGGCGAGAGGAAAGGCAGAGCAGGAGGAGGCAGAGGGGTGAGGAAGAGGAAAAGGAAAAGAAGCATCGAACATGAAATAGAGGAAGTGGAAAGAGTCTGGAAGAGTTAAGGGATGGTAAACCAACATACAGGTAACAGCGGAGAAGGGGGGAAGGGGAGATTATATGAAGATGAAGATGAAGAAGAAGGTGATGATGATGATGATAAAGGTGAAGCAGGAGAGGAAGTAAAAGAGGATCTAACCAACTAACCAACTAACTAACTGTGCCGGCTGAGGGATTCCCAAAGCAGCAGCAGCGCGATGGAGTCCCCCGGGAGGGGCGGTGGTGGCAGCGGACGGAGGGGGGGGGAGGAAATGCGAAACGCAATGGGTGGATGGGGGGTACTGCGATGAGTACTGCGCGACGGAGTTAAGAGGGCGGGCGGGTGGGGGGATAGGCGGGGCGGGTAGGCAAAAGGGAGTACCCGGGGGTTAGGATACGATACAGGTGGGGATGCGAATGCGGTATACATATTAATAAAATGGATGTGTCGACTGGCGATGGGGTTTGAAGCTTAGGAAGAGGGGAGGAGAGAGAGAGAGAGGAGAGAGAGAACAATGGTGGAGGGAGAGATGGAGATAAAAATTGGCGGTGCTGCTGGTGCTGCTGATGCCAGCACTTAGTTGCGGTACTGCTACTGCAACTGGTACTGCTACTGGTACTGCTGCTCGTACTGCTGCTCGTACTGCTACTGCTGCTGGTACTGGTACTGCTACTGGTACTGCTGCTCGTACTGCTACTGCTGCTGGTACTGGTACTGCTACTGGTACTGCTGCTCGTACTGCTACTGGTACTGGTACTGCTGCTGGTACTGCTCTACTCCGTTGTGACGCCCCGGCCGCGGCCGCCGAGGCAGGGTACGCAGAACCCGAGCCCAACCTCCGCCGCCGCAGCAAACTAACCACTGCGGCCCTGCAACAGCCGCCGGCACCTCCTCCATCATCTCTGGGCCCGTGCACCAACAGCCTCTATCGATACCCACATCCAGCAACCCTCAACCGCGCCTGTCGCCCTCTTCCTTTTCCTCACACTCCCCCATACCCGCCGGCTAGCCGCGATGCCGCCAAGAGTATCGCCGCCTCCGGCTCCGCCTCCGCCGCCGCTGCTCTGCTGCTTCCCGCTACCTCTCGCCCGCCTCCCGCTACGCTGCCCGCCACCGCCTCCACCTCCGCCACGTCACGTCACGGACAGCCACGTCACCACAAGCTGAGGCGGCGGTTGCTTACAACGGCCAACAACAGATCGGGATTGCTCCGCAACAGGCCCCGACCGCTGCGGCCGCTGCCGGGCATGAGCCTGCGTGCGTATTTGTGTGTGTCCATGTCTATGTGTGTGTCTACGTGTATGTATGTATGTATGTATGTATGTATGTATGTATGTACAGCGACCAGGCAGGAGCGGCAGGAAGTGAGGATTCCAGACAGCAGCCAGGAGGGGCGGAGGAGCAAAGAAACAGGGGGGAGGGGAAGGGAGCGAAACACAGGCAGGTACCAGGAGACAGGAACAGCGGAGTGCGTTGCAGTAACAGCAGTGGCAGTAGCAGTAGCAGTGGCAGGAGTAGTACTGTTTTGAGGGCTGTGGTATGGTGCTATCGTACGGCAATGTGACGGCAGCGGGGCGGCGCGCGGCGGCGGCAGTGGCGGTGGTGGCAGCAGCACGTTTGGTACACAAGTGCTGCCGTTACCGCTACTGCAACACCAGCCAGCCCGCAGGCAGTCACACACACACACAGACACACACACACACAGACACACACGCACACAGACACACACACACACAGACACACACGCACACAGACACACACACACACAGACACACACACACACCACTTGTTGGGCACCAAGCCGCTCGCAATATCACTTTAGCACCGGCAGCAATAGCTGTAGGCCACAGCAACACCTAACCGCCAAGCAGAAACCAGGGGGCCCGCAGCCGAATCCCAATGTAATGAATGGATATGGATATGGACGGATGGTGGTGGTGGTGCGGCGCAGCAGCAGGAGAAGGGAAGCTACATAGGAAAAACGACCCACGGGGTTGGCGGTGGTGGTGGTGGTAGTAGTGGTGGTGGAGACGGCGGCAGCTACAAAGCTGCAGATACGCGCATGACGTTGTCCTACCTGAGGAGCGAAGGGGGGTTACTAATGAGCGGACTTCCGAAGCTTTTCCCTCTTGCTCGAGCCTTAGAAACCTATTAAAAAAATGCTCTTGTTATGAAAGGTAAAACTTCTACGGGTTTAGATGCCAGGAAAAAAGGCCCATAGGTTGAACTCTCTAAAAAGGAAAGAGTCCGAAACCCTCTCGTGACCGAAAACACACAACCCCCCCACCGGCCGGGGGAGGGGAAGCCCTGTCATGCCCGGCTCTCAGCCCCCTTTCCCCCCTTCCCTGCCGTACAACATCCGTACCGTTCCAGCTCGCCGACCACCTCGTCCACATCCTCCACCAGCAGCAGAGGCTGCTGCGTCACCTGTGTACGACGGTTCCGGGAAGTACTGTGCCAAGGTGCAAAAACGAGTGGAAAGGTTTTTGTCCCGTTCTTTGTCGAGATCGATCCTGGAACCTCTAACGGTCATGCAACCCACCCACAGCGGAACTTTCCAGGAACTCTATATATGCTTTCGCCTCGGCAAAGTATAATCCCCCCTCCCTCCTCCGCTTCGCCCAACCCCTCTCCCTACCGCGACAAGCTCCCTCTGCTCCCCCACCCCTCCGCCGCTGACCTCACCATCTGGCCGAGGCCCCCCTCGGGAAACATCGTCCCCAGCTTCCTGTGCGCCACCTCCACCCCCGGCCACTCCGCTGCGGTCAGCAGCGTGGGGCGCTTGGCGATGATGACGGACACGTTTGCATCGGGGAACATCTCCCGGAGCTGGACCTGATGGTGGTGGTGGTGATGGTGGTGGTGGTGGTGGTGATAGTGGAAGTAGTGGAAGTAGTGGTGGTGATAGTGGAAGTAGTGGTGGTGATAGTGGAAGTAGTGGTGGTGATAGTGGAAGTAGTGGTGGTGATAGTGGAAGTAGTGGTGGTGATAGTGGAAGTAGTGGTGGTGATAGTGGAAGTAGTGGTGGTGATAATGGAAGTAAGTGGTAGAAGGAGAAGAGGCAGTGGAAAATGAGAAGAAGGAGAAAGGGAAGGAAAAGGAGGAGGGGAAACCCTAAGGTAGGCCTAGGCTAGGCCTGATCAAGTCAAGAGAGGGACAGATGAAAAGGAGAGAAGGAAGGGGAAGGGGAAGGGGAGACTTTACAACAACAAGCCAACACTCAACCAGCTCCTCCCCCCCTTCCCTGCTTCAGGGGAGCCCTTGCTTGTCGTACTGTCACGTACCAGCTTGTACGCCACACCCCGGGTATCCGAACAGAGCTCCACCAAGATAGCGGGTTTTAACGACAACAGCCGACTTCGTATATCTGGCAGTAGCAGGAGTAGCTCCTAACGAGGGGTAGCAGCAGCAGTAGCGGCATTAGTAGCGGCAGTAATAATAGCCGCCTCAGAGAGTAAGGTGTTCACAATCACGGGGGGGGGGGGAAATCAATGGTGGCGGCGGTCTTAGGATATGCCTGCAGTGGCTCTGTGTCGCCTGCAGTGGCTCTGTGTCGCCTACAATGCCTCTGCGTAGCCCTGTTCAGGTGACACATGCGCGCGACTGCACTACCTTCGAGTGTTTGTCTGTCTGTGTGCGTGCCTTGTCATTTGTTGGAAAACAACCCGCCAGCTCCCACACCTCAAACCCTTCGGGCCCCCCCCCCCACACACACATGCGCGCCACACGCGGCTGCAAGTGGGGTTTTTGAATGGCTGGTTGGCGGGAAAACACTGTATGCGGAACGGGTGTTTCAAGAGATATGAAACACGGTCCCCCCTCCCCACGTGTTCCCCTTTCCTGCGAAAGAGAAGGGTGTGTAAAAGGCCGTCCGCTCAATCCGCTCTCCATCGGACTTCGGAGTCCAGTGCGGCCATTTCGGGAAACCCAACACATGTTTCTGCGTCCATTTTCTTTTCTTTTCTTGCTTGACCTGACCTGAGGGCAGCCAGGCCCCAGCCAGGCTGCGTAACCTGGCCTGACTTTTCCTTCACCTCCGCCGCTGCCGCCGTCGTCCTCGTCCGGGCCTGACTCCCCTCCCCCCCTT